TTCAAGTAGATACATCATTTCTGGTTTGACTTTATGGAAAGTATTTGGATAATCTGAGCAGCATTCGGGTCCATTTTTATAGGGAAGAGGGTAGCTGTAGTTCGAAAGGAAGTCATTTGGGCGACCGGGTATCAATTGTGGTGCAATTCCAAACTGGAAAAAGGTTTCTCTCCCGCTTGAATCCCTCGTACTTACTGGCTTCACATCCTGAACTCTCAGACATCTTGCAACCCATGTATCTTCACCACCACGCCTGGGGCAGCCACCCTCGTACAGCGTTCTCTTGAATATTCTTAGCGTTTCGCGGCTGAAAACGTAGCCGGCCCCTCCAGTGTTGTAGCCGCCATACGAAGTAAACATCCTTCCGATATAATGAGGATCCGAGGGATTTAACTTAGACAGAAAATAGCGGAGATTTTCCATAATCACGTAAGTGTCGTCATCTGCTTTCAAAAACCAATCAACATCAAGATGGTGTTGATAAATATATTCCAGAGATGCACGGGTTTTTGCATATAGATTATGGCGACCCTCTTTCACATTAAGCCCGATTACAGGGATGGTAGCATCCTCTGTGGAACTAAAAAACAAAAGCATATCACAGCGTTTTCCCCACGTATCCTTCACGGATTTTGCTCTTTCTACGAGGTTGTTTGGAGAGGTTGGTATCCAGCATAAGATTCGTTGTCTTTTAATTTCATTTTGAGTGGACATCCTGTCAGCATCTTCTCTTTCCTGATTATGAATAGTTAATGGTATACGGGCTGTTTCGAAGCGTTTATGCCAATACTGCATGTAATTATTATGTTCAAGCACGAACATTGTCACCATACCCAAAACTAGAATGCTGGTAAACTGCAGGGTAAAATTACGTAAACTTAGATCCAGTCGTACCATGTTCTTTTGCAGTTTGCTACGTGTGCTCTCTTTTCCTTCCCGCGCTGTCGCGTCTTCTCTCACTTGCCGCTCACAAGTGTGCGCAACGTTTAAGATATTTCCCAAATGGATACCTTGCTCGCAGGCTGGATTTCACTTTTCAGATAAACTTTGCAAACCCAAAGGATCTGGGAAAGAAACATGAAATGACTGAGAAAATGCCGGAAAGTCTCTTTTTTTGAGCTCACATAGTACGCCCTCGAACCTTCACCAATAATTCGAAATAATTTTGACGAGAATTTTTTTGTTTTCTTTTTTAAAGGTACTTCTAATCTTTGTTTTAAAGACAAACACAATTTTCATCTTAACTGCAAATGTGAGTTTTCCTGCAGAAAACTTACAGAATGACGATGATAAACATTTGAAAACATTTTCTCAGGACTAAAATAAACTCTAAATTTCAACAATTTCCGGGGGAACATGCATGCCCCCAGGATCCCCCTTGATAAGCAAGCTCCTTGGGCGCTCGCTGAGCTCGCGATAAGCGCGAGCAAGCCCCACCAATCCAAAATCTGCTCCGCGGTCCCTGACTATTACAGTAATCACAAAGTGCTGGCCAACAGCTGCCATTGTCATGACGGGCTTAGGCTACAAAAAAAATTCTGACCAGGAGGTCTTCTAATCTCGTACATTACTTGTCACCGCCTGCCGGAAACAATCAATGAAGCCCTTTTTTTCTCTCAGCATCTTGTTTCATTTGTTAGATTTACTGAGGTCGTCGCGACTGTCGCGTGTGAATATTTCGCTAACGTTTCTGTCGCTTTACTGCATAACGCTGGTTGCATTTGCGAAGCTATGAGCAAAATGGCTAGATTTCTAATTACTCCTGGCAAGTGTTAAATCTGCTTTAATTTAACGGGAAGATGCCGGCAAAACGAATCCGTTTTAACCTACGTCAAGTTCGACCACTACACTGCTAAACGAGAGTGGCAAATTATTTCTGTAGGAAATCCTTACTTGGTTATCGACTTTGGTAAGTTTAGCTTTGTTTAGCCGATTAATTGATGGTAAGTCGTGATTTTTAATGTTTCGGTTTTTTGTCGATGAAAAATACCGAGAAAAAAATATCGGGCCGAAATTATTTTTTTGGCACGTGTTCTCTGATGATGTATTTCACATAATTTTTGATAATGTATTACAAAAAGATTCTGTCCAGATTTCTCGATATTTTATCAGTTTCAGTCTATCACACGCCGCCCAACAAACGATCGCTAGCCTCTAGCAATTTGGCGCCGGCTTTCCTATTTTGCTTTTGCATTTTGATCACCATCTCATGAAAGTGCTTTTAATTATTTGTGGCGGGAAATATGTACCGCGCGCGTTTGTTTGGCGCCCAGATCATTGACATCAGTGGAAGAGACTCCAGACAGGTAAGAAAACTTAATAATTATATCAGTAGCAATTGATGTTTAAAATTATAATTCTGGATTATTCTATTCTAGTTCAACACTCGAGAGAGTCAGCTCTTGTCTCAAAAAAATTTCGCAGACAAGCAGCCTCGCTGGGTCATGCAGGGTCCCCTTGTTTCCTGAGCTTTTGTTATCTGCGTTGCATAGTATTAACCTGTAGTATCCTGGGTAGTGTATACCTGAAATCTACAGTTAACTCGCAAAAATGCTCTAATCAATGCTGTAGTATCCTGGGTAGCGTATACCTGAAATCTACAGTTAACTTGCAAAAATGCTCGAATCATTCCTGTAGTATCCTGGGTAGTGTATACCTGAAATCTACAGTTACCTCGTAAAAATGCTCTAATCATTCCTGTAGTATCCTGGGTAGCGTATACCTGAAATCTACAGTTAACTCGTAAAAATGCTCTAATCAATGCTGTAGTATCCTGGGTAGCGTATACCTGAAATCTACAGTTAACTCGCAAAAATGCTCTAATCATTCCTGTAGTATCCTGGGTAGCGTATACCTGAAATCTACAGTTAACTTGCAAAAATGCTCTAATCATTCCTGTAGTATCCTGGGTAGTGTATACCTGAAATCTACAGTTAACTCGTAGAAATTCTCTAATCATTCCTGTAGTATCCTGGGTAGCGTATACCTGAAATCTACAGCTAACTTGCAAAAATGCTCTAATCATTCCTGTAGTATCCTGGGTAGCGTATACCTGAAATCTACAGTTAACTTGCAAAAATGCTCTAATCATTCCTGTAGTATCCTGGGTAGAGTATACCTGAAATCGACAGTTAACTTGCAAAAACACTCTAATCAATGCTGTAGTATCCCGGCTAATGTATACCTAAAAAATACATAACATTGACTTATTTGACTTATGGAGGTGACAATCTTATTCAACTCTTACTCTTTTTGAATATTCATGGTCAATTAACAGCTTTCTCTCAATCCATCTTATTTTTTTAGCACGCACTCGAACTTGATTTTGGCACGAGTGTTGTCTTAACAAAGCGGAGTAAAAGAGCAGTATAAGAACATGTATTGCAGTATTTTATGTTAGTGATCTAGGAACCTCTGAATTTGGCGATTTTGCGATAATGACATATCGCCAGGACTATTTCATTTGCTTGATATAAAAGCAGTACAAAAAAATCTTAAATCATATTTAGTACTTGTCTGTTAATTGTTGTTTCTGTCGGCTTTATAACGATTTGATGCCTTTACATACTGATACAGGACCATAAAGTAGTTACCGCGTTTGTTAAATTTGGTAATGTTAAATTAGAGTATAAGGAGCTACTTTTACGAATTTTACGAAAAACATTTTCCCAGCCTTTTAGGAAGCGGCTTAAATAGTTTCAAAGTTGCAGGGCAGTCACAAAACTGAATTTTTGAGTTTACCTCCATTTCATACTATAACTTACTGCCCGAGACTGAAAAAGGCGCAATGTAAAATGTTTATGGCGTTTTATTATTACCAAAATAGTAAGTGCCTCGGAAGAGGGTTAGCCGAGCAGAAAAAGATTTAAACCTTGCTTTAATCAAATATTGCGGTTACTTTCATTTCAGTTTATGGTAGCTTGAGTTACTCTTTTGTGGGCAATTTACGGAAGTCCTAGGGTATTCAGCTAACACCTCAAGAGCCTAGAGCTGTCAGACCTTGGTTTTGAATACTTATGCAAATTAGCTGGCTGCACATTGAATGTGCAGCCAGCTAATTTGCATAAAATTTTTTCGCGCTTCAAAGCTCGTCATGGATTAGAAAAAGGGCCTACTCCAAGTAACCTTCACTGACACGCCCTTGGCTAATGTAATTTTGGACTTTTTCAGAATGCGAAAACAACAATGACGCCAGTAAAGTATTTTTTTATTTGTGACAAGAGATCAAGAGGATTCGAAAAAAGAGCACAGTCGACGCGAGACCTTAAAGACCTTAAATCATATCTAAAACTCGTTTCGTCCCCCTCTCTCTCGTTTGTTTTCGTCGAAACTTTCATAAAACAGATATAAAAGTGTTTGTTTTTTTCCGAAGAAATACATCTTGCTTTACTATAAATTGATTTCACATGCCTGCCATCTTCCAAGCAGACTATTCGTTTTGGCAAGGCATTCGGTTGGTAGACTCGACATGCAGTGGAAAGGATCTGAACCGTAAACACGGTTTGTTTTTTTTTGTTCTGACAAAATCGATTCTTTTTTCAAGGCACGAACCGATAGCTGGCGTAATATTCTCGGGCGGAATGGAGCGTGTGGGCGTGTAACTCACACACAACTTTCGTTTGACTGCCTCGCGTGTTCGTGACCGAACAGTCGTGCAGTCTGGGAATAACAGTGTTAATCAGTCACGCAATAGGAAAAAACCTACGCAGCTGGCAGAAATCTTCGTGGGACGAAGCTATCTATTTCGGGGAGTGTCTAGCCTCCCCGCAGACGTCCTTTGGGGTTCGTTTGTGGGGAGAAATGAATGCGTGACAAACGAACCCCAAAGGACGTCTGCGGGGAGGCTAGGGAGTGTCATCATTTGTACGATAAACCGATAATATTATTTGGCCTGTTTTGATGTCGTTGTTGTTTTTTTTAGATACAGGCTCGTATTTCCTTTTCAAAAAATGATCAAGGAGTTTCTTTATCCCATTTAGAGTTAGACACTTGGAATTCTAGACGCCAATTTGGCTTATTTAAAAGTTCATGGACAAAAAACGAGGCATTAATGTCTCTGTCTTTGCCCGGGTCAAATTCATTCAGGGTTTTTGTTTTTTCCTCTTTTAATAAAAATCATGGGAAATTTCCTTCCGGACCAAAATGTGTACACTGAGCCTTGAAACATAATAATGACCGTCACATGAATCAGTGTTTATGTTCCTAATTTTTCTTATTACTATATATAGGTGATCCGTAACTTAAAGCTTTAACTCTTGATCTTAATTTTTATCTTTTTTTGTATGTATTTTTTTTTTCTGAAGACTCCATTTTGACTAAGAAGAGTTTCATAACATCCCGATTGATACGTTTTCACTCTGTGCGGAATGCTGGATCGATCGATGTTTACGAAAGATGCTTAATTGCGGCTTGGTAGAAATCGTCCAGCCTTCCCATTATTTTTGTTCGAAACCAAATCTATTTTAGCTTAACTGGTTCGCCTTAATGTTCCTTTCAATGACATCAATAGATCAGTAACCACTGCTTGATAAAATAAGCAGATAAGAAACTAGAATGCTCAAGTCCACAAGCTTAACAAGAAATAGGAATCCGCTTTACCGTTAGATGTGTTATTTCAACAGAAGAATGGAAATTTTAAATGCAGTGGTATGGGGAAAACTGTGAATGTGGTTACAATAATTAACCTTGAATTATAAAAGGGCGCTATAAATTGTAAAAAAAATGCATAGCTTACCTCTCTCTAAGCACAGTTGCTCGTTTTGTTGCTTCCCGTTTTTCAGTCAATTCGTAGTTTTAAGTTTCATTGTTTTGTTTTCTAGATAGGTCAGAACACTGAAATGTGAAACCACTTTGAAGTGATTTCAAATATGCCTTAAATCGACCGGAAAATCTCACAGGATGAGTTGCCCTATAGTCACGTGTCGCGGGTCGCGGGGCGTGTTTTCTCTCCAGTACCGTATTTCCTCGAATAATAGCCAGGGGCGATTATTATTAATTTTTGGCGCACCGAAAGGAGGCGGTTATTCAAGGATGCCGATAATTCGAGGGAGGGGATTATTTCAAATATTCCTCACTGGAAGTCATGCCCTAAATACTTTGGTTTATTATCCCATCACATTAAATTAACTGAACATGGTCTTTTTAAGTGTTCCAAATTTGGTTTCTTGATTAATTTTCAATGTCAATATCCAAGAATAGAGGAAAAAGTGAAATACATAAACATTATCATAGAAAAAACTGTAACAAAACCCGTACTTTTGTAAGTATTCAACTTTTAACTTGAGAGGGAGGGGATAAAAGAGAGAGAGAGAGGATGCGGCGAAAGAGGATGTGGCGAAAGGGCGATTACTCGAGAGAGGCCATTATTGTAAATATTTTGGTCAAAGGGGGGCTATTATTCGAGGGAGGTGAACAATCAGAGGGACGGCTATTATTCGAGAAAATGCGGATTTAAATTGCAGAAAAAACCCATGAGTAAGAACCTGTTAGGCTACAATTTATCAGTTAGGTCCGCTCTATACAATAACCTTTTTACCCTAAAATTTGAAACATTGATTCTTATTTTCTAAAATCTAAAAGAAAACGTCCTGTGCACTCATTAGGCAAATAAGATAAGTCAACATTTAGCATGCACTTTGGACTGGTGCCATGTAATGAACTGCAGACGGAAGATTTTATACAAGGAGTAACCTGAAAACAGTGAAATCTGTATTAAGCGGACACCCTCTATTAAGCGGACAGTAGCCGAAGTCCCCAAATTTATTACCCTTATTTACTTGAAATGAAACCTTTATTAAGCGGACACCTCTAATAAGCGGACGCGGACACCTAAAAAGTACCTGAAATGGTCATTTCTATCGTTGCCAACCTGTATTAAACGGACACTTTGTAAATAAATTTCACCACCCAACATGCCAGACACCGGAAATGCGAAAGATTACCACCCACAAATTTTAATATTTTTACATTAAAAAACGTGACTTGACGAACTTATTTGATTAGTTTCACAGTGCAGTGTTGTTTTCTATTTCGTTTTGTTTCTGTAGAGCTTGTTTCACTCATCTGAGTTCTTCAAATTTGAGTTGCAATCTATGTTTATGGTAATATCATCTTTAATAAAGAAATTAATGCAAACGTATATCGTCATAGTCGCCGGGAGTATACTAAACGTTTCCACTGTTCATTTGAATGGCATTTGACACCTCATATGACGTTATCTATCGAAGCCTGTATTAGGTGAACACCCTGTATTAAGCGGACACTACAGCATTCGCCAAGGGTGTCCGCTTAATACAGGTTTCGCTGTACCCAGTAAATACTTCTTAGCTACAATATATTTTTTCTTCAAAAAATAAGAACCTATTAGAAAAAGGCTAAATTTGTGCTATTATAAATTGCCATTTAGGGACAGACCATTAATTTTTTGACGGGGTGGGGTTTGAAAATTTTCACATGGAAACATTTTTTTATATGCGGCTGCTGCTGCAAACAATTTTTTTTGTGTGTCTCCGTCTTCCTGCAAACACTTTCACTTTTTTTTTTTTACTTGCATACAATTTGTTTCAGTGTTCAAAATTTTCCAACCTCCCCCCGCCCCCGCCAAAAAATTAGTGGTCCGTCCGTTACTAACTTGGGAATATGCAGTTTCTTACTCGCGGGTTTTTACTGTTTTATCTAAGTGTCATCAACTAAAGATTCGAAGTTATTAAACTTGATGAGTTCGGTTAGAACGTTCATTTAAGGCTGAGAAGCATTGGGCCAAGAATTGAGCCCTGAGGGACCCCATGTATTATCGTAAGTGGTCCTGACAATGAAGTTGCAACACGAGTGGAGTTATGTCTGTTTTAAAGGTAAATCTCAAACCATAGAAGAACTTCGTTGGAATTAACTAAATTCTGTAATTTACAATAGTGTGGAAGCCTTGCTTAAGTCAATATGACCCATTGCCGTGATTTGCTATTTATCCATGGTCTTGACGATGTGATCGATGACTAGCAAGCTCAATGATTCCGTCGAGTGGTGTCTTTGATGACGAGTGCGGTGTTTTCTCGGTAAAGCAGCCATTTGTTTAATTGACCCAGGGCGATTTCGCCAGTCCTAAGGTCGAAAGGTGGGTAAGTCATGAGCAGTGGTACTGTAGTAGCGAGCTTGCCTTTTTTGCACATCTCTCAGCTTCTCTCTCATAGCCTGTGTTCAGGTTCCTTAGCTCCAGCAGATTGTCAGTTGTGGGAAGAAGAGTCCTCCACCTCCTTTTCATGTGTCCCTGGACTGGACTGCTCCCAATGCCTTGTGATGGAATATTGCGCTCGGCAAGAAGCCCCAGATAGAAATCGTCACCGCCTTTAGCAGTCTTGCGGAGGACACGTTTAGCAGACTTGACAACTGCCTCCACTTTCCCATTAGCCTTACTATTGCAGGCTGATGTTGGTGTGTGTTTGATGTCCTAGGCACTTTTGAAATTCTGAAATTCTGCCGCATCGAATTGTGGACCATTTTCGCTTACAAGTTGGCAGGGACTGCCGTGCTTTGCAAAATGAGCCTTTAGTTTCTTGATCACAGCTCCTGCTTCTGTGCTGTGCGGTCTGTCCAGCTCCCAATAGCCCGGCGCTATAGTAGTCCACTGTAACTAGGTAGTTTTTCTCGTCCAGTGTAAAGAGATCAGCAGCCACTTTAATTTTTCTCCCAAGGTCTCTGCGGTACTTCGTGCCTCGTGAGGGTCTCTTTGCCATGGGAAATTTCAAACAGTCTGCAGGGCTCACAAGTTGAGATCCAGTGTCTAAGTTCAGAGTTCATACTTGGCCAGTAGACACTCTACTTTGCCCTCCTGAGACAACCTTCCACACCAGCACGTTACGCAGATAGTTTTATCTTTATATCAGCCCTCAGTCCACAACGAGCCATGGCTGATCATGAGGTCGACTTTGCTGAAGACTTTTACTCTAGCGAAGGATATCCTTGAGCACTGGAAGCTGTTAGTGTTCCCGCTTTAAAGCTACGTTTAGGGATCGTGGATCTATACAAATCCGTAGACTTCCATCTTATTTGGTAGCAACTGCCATCTGATCCACCCAGTCAGTGGGTTCATCTACTTGGGCAAGGACTCCTGTGTCAACTAACCTGTCAAGTTCGTCTTTAACTTTATCCCGTAGTAGTCAATAGGTAATCTTTTGGTGGGCAAAGAGTTGGTTCTACATCAGGCTTTAAGGCTAGTTGCACAGAGCAGGCAAAGCGCCAATATATTCACTGAACACATCAGGAAAAGTTTGTAGGGTATCGTGCTTGTCTTCAACCACTCCATTGACACTTTCTAACTTATTGTAATTGACTGTGATATGTTTCATCTTCTCAGCTGGTTTGGGACTTGGCAGGGGGATGAGCTCTTCCTCGAGAAAACATCAAAGTTTACCATGTATTTCTGGGAGGTCTTGGGGTTCTGTAGGGAGAGTTTACAGGTTCCAAGTGCGTTCATTTTCTCCTTGTTCCACACCCCTAGAGAAATCTTAGATGGCTTAGGTTGGGTGTCACTGATGTGACTTCTGGGAATGATGCTAACAGTGGCTCCACAGTCTCCACAGTCTACTTGTCGTCTGACTGGGTTAGACCTGATATGCATTTCACCATAGATTGGTTTGTCTTTCTTTGAGGCGACACCATTAACAAAGGCGTTGAGAGTCTTCACAGAGGCCACATCCGAGTCCGAGTCGGAGCAATCAGAATCTTGATTTGCTGCGCGTATTTTCCCTTTCATGGCACAAACTTCTGAACCCTTCCGGTAATTCATTTTCCGGCAAACATTTCACCTTTTACCCAACGCAGGGCATAGCTCTTTCTTCAGAACACTGTGAGACTGTGAGCAGAACTTGCACTTAAGTTTTCGTAGCTCGGTGTTTTTTCCTTCGAACAAGGTTTCAGTTCGTTGTCTTCGTTCGCCCCGTTTACGGTCCTTCTTCGAATTGGGAGACTAAAGTTTCCACCCCATCGGGATCCTAACTCGCGCCGTATTGAAACGCGTTGTAAATGGCATATGATAGGATATGGACTGGACTGGATTGGTAAAACATAGGTTAATAAAATATGGATTAATAAAACATGGATTTATGAATAAGAAATGGGTTTTTTTCCTAGGTTTTATAGGATCTGAATATGACAAACATGACTTGCACCAGAAATCAACCTCAGCCAGTGCGTGCAACGATCAAAAACCCGATCATTGGCATGAATGTGTTACAGGACTCATCTCCCCGATTTTGAAGATATATGGAAAGTTAATGAAAGTTCGATAAATATCCGATTAATAGGCCTTTAAGGTTCTAGAACATTCTTAGTGTTTACCTTTGAAAATGAAACATGATGAATACCCAATTTACTGATAAGCTTTTCATTAAGAAAGATAAATATTAAGAGTGTGCTTTTCAGGAGTGAGACATCTTGTCTCCAAACTTGATGTCCCTCTCAACACATTTACCCAAAATGGACAGAGTAGTAATTTAACTTAGGAAACTCATAATTTTTATGTTGACACTAGCTCTTAAGAGTAGGAAGCTTTTAGTTCTAATTTAATCTTTTTCGCCCCGCCAGCTTTTCGCGTGCCTTTTACTTTCGCGTCTTTCCCACTATCTCAGAGCCTGGAACAGGCCAAATGTATCAATATGCTATTCTCTTAAATTAGATAGAAAGGCGAAAACAAGAAACCGAACTACGAACCACAACTTCAGTCACAAGCACATGGTTGTTACGACAACGCTACATACACATACGGGGAATCAGTGACATGTCACGCAACTTGTCACAGTCTTCATCACTGTTACGGTAAAAAAAAATTGCAAGTTAGACTAATAAGTTTTATAGATTTAACCTTTTCAAACTTTTCCGTTTGTTACTCTAAGCCTTTACTTTGACACGATAAATTAAGTATTCAAGTAGATACATCATTTCTGGATTGACTTTATGGAAAGTATTTGGGTAATCTGAGCAGCATTCGGGTCCATTTTTATAAGGAAGAGGAAAGCTGTAGTTCGAGAGGAAGCCATGAGGTGGACGGCCTGGTATCAGTTGTGGTGCAATTTTAAAATGAAAAAAGGTTTCTCTTCCGCTGGAATCCCTCGTACTCACGGGTTTCACATCCTGAGATCTCAGACAATTTGCTACAAATATATCTTCACCACCCTTCAGGGGGCAGCCACCCTCGTCCTGCGCTTTCTCGAATATTCTTAGCGTTTTGCGGCTGAAAACGTAGCCGGCCCCTCCAGTGTTGTATCCGCCATAAGTAGTAAACATCCTTCCGATATAATGAGGATTGGAGGGATTTAGCTTGGACAGAAAATAGCGGAGATTTTCCATGATCACGTAAGTGTCGTCATCTGCTTTCAAAAACCAATCAGCGTCGTTTATGTGGTGTTGATAAATATATCTGAGTGATGCACGGGTTTTGTTGAACAGTCTCTTTCTTCCTTCCCCAACATTTAACCCGATTGTAGGAAAGCTGGAATCCGCCTTCGAACTGAAGAACAAAAGCATATCACAGCGTTTTCCCCATGTATCCTTCACTGATTTTGCTCTTGCTGCGAGGTTGGTTGGAGAGGTTGGTATCCAACATAAGATTCGAGGTCTTTCAATTTCCTTTAAGTTGAAACCATTTTGCTTAAGATGCCTGTCTACACCAGCATTGTATTTGCTACGTTTGTTTCCTATTTCGAGGCGTTTATGCCAATACTGCATGTAGTTATTATGTTCCAAGAAGAACATTGTCACCATACCAAGAACTAGAATGCAGGCAAATTGAAAGATGAAATTAGGCAAACTTGAATCCAGTCGGACCATGTTTGTTAAGAATCTGTCGGGTGTAAACTCTCCTAGCTACCCTTAGATAGTTCAACTTCTCAGAAACTTTGTAATAAAAAAGGATTTCGACAGAGAAACACGAGAAAGCAAATGAAAGCTTATTTTGTACTTACGCTGCGCATGGGGTCGTATTAAAAACTGCATCGAGCATCCTTCTTCTAAAACGCATTAATATTCAGTAGGCATATTGTCCAATAGACTTCGCAAATTTAATCACCTGTAACGACCTTCATACGCGGTATTAAAAACTGACAGCAAACTGAGAAGTAGGAGGCACGAGGGGGCGGTCTTTGAATTCAGCCCCAGTGGAAATACTGTGTTAATTCTTTGAAACAGTGGAATACTGATTACTAACAAAAATGAAATTTCTTATAAAACGGTCCTCCTAATTTGCAAATAAATGAAAAGTCAACAATTTAACAAATTGTTTCTACCGAAGACAGAAAAAAATGCAGAAAAAATGTTCATCCTTGGAAAAAAAAAACAACACCAACAACAACCAGTCGACCAGTTTCATACAAAGTTTTCTAACCGAGAAAGCACCAAACCGCGGTCCATGTCAAGATACTACTAATACCATTTCCAGAAGGGATGGGCGAAATGAGTCCCAAACGGCAAAATTTAATTCTTTACAGTATATCGTTTGCAGTTTCGCGAAATGACCATCATGTCGCGTTACAGTTAGATTAAACGGCATGCTACTCGAGAATTTTGTTACTTTTGAGCGACCGGTTAACTGTGGAAACTTCTTTCATCTGAATAGCGGTATTGCGAAAACAAGTAGGCTTTTTAACTGTGTACCTCAGCTGTATGAGGCATTTGCATGTTAACTATTTCTTCCCGACATTTGTCATCTTAGCTGCTTTTGTTTGTCATTATTTTCAATCAACACTTTCTATAAAGGGGAATGAAATATTTAACAATTCTATCGAAATGAAATACTCCGGGGACAATTTTGAAGCTGTTTAAAGCACTCACAGCACGTGTTTTACGGCCACCGGTTAAAAATTCGAGCTCGAAAACACCGCTGTTCGTGTTTTAAACATTACAGAACCACGGTTATTGACCAAATTTGGGTGATAATTGTCGATATCATTAACTGGTTTTCAGATGACGTCATCAAAAATTCAAACACAAGAAACTATCGATCCTTCCGAAATTTTACTAGAACTAAATTAAAAACTAAATATTTATACAATTTTTCACTTTGAAACTGAAATTTCTTCGTTTCGTGATAGATTGGCGTGAATTTTTGCCCAGCGCAGCATGTACGTGGTGGCCGGGCGAGCTGTTGTGTAGGTTTAAAAAGGACTTATTTTGGGAGATTCAGTGCTATCTAAACAGTGATTGTAAAAGAAAAAGTATTCCTTTTAATGCATATACGTTCCTCGAGAGATAAGTTCACGCTTTCGTAGCAAAACTTGTTTTATTTTAATTTTCAAATTTTGCCATTCTTTACAAAGAGAGATGGAGAGTTTACTTAGTAATATTTAAGCCATAGAAAACGTTTTCGGTGTTTGCACAGCGTGATATAAACACGAGATGGGTTGGGAGAATTCGAGGAAACCCGAGACCAAGTCGAGGGTTTGCATAATTGTCGAGAATTCTCGTAACCCCTCGAGTGTTTATGTCAGGCTATGCAAACACCGGAAAAAAGTTTTCTATTGCTTTTATAAAATAACTTTCCTGAGAACAAACGGAAAACTCTTTGTTATGGCACTGATGCAAACACTCCTCTCAGCCAATCAGTGCGAGCGTACTATCTTAGTTATTCTATAAATACCGCTAAGCCATAGAGGATTAAAAGTCAGGCTCGAAGCATACAGAAATCGCCTTTGCACTTGTGAAGTGAAACTTCCGAAGTAGTGAGGGTTTCTTGCAAAAAAACAAAACAAAAACGAAACAAATACGTACCTACATTGAAATAACGTTGAAATATAGCAATATCAAAATATCAAGCTGTTAGGAATAAGAACTTTCAATGTCAATATCCAAGGAATAGATGAAAAAGTGAAATGCATGAAAACTATCTTAGAAAAAACTGTAACAAAAACCGTGATTTTGTAAGTATTCAAATTTTAACTTGACAGGGAAGGGACAAAAGAAAGAGAGGATGGCGAGAGGGGTGAGGTGGGGGGTCGATTATTCGAGAGAGGCGATTATTTTAAATATTTTGGTCAAAGGGGGCGATTATTCGAGGGACGGCTATTATTCGAAGAATATATAAATTTTAATTACAGTAAAAACCCACGAGTAAGAACCTGTTAGACAAAAATTTGCCAGTTAGGTCCCTTCTATACAAGAACCTGTTTACCCTAAAATTTGAAACATTGATTCTTATTTTCTAAAATCTAAAAGGAACGTTCTGTACACTTAGGCAAATAAGATAAGTCAACATTCAGTATGCTCTTTCAGCGGAAACATAGGTGTCTTATCACTCCAATTGCAATGTTATGGTCTGCAGACAACAAAACAAACTCTATCCTCTCTTGATACCCGTCAATACCTCTTAGCTACAAAATCTATTTTTTCTTTAAAAAGAGAGAACCTTTTTAAAATAGCCTAAATTTGTGCTATTATAAATTGCCATTTATTATATAAACACCAATGAAATACCAGGTGAGCTTTCGCGCGAGAACTTGATATCTTCACATGTGAAAACAACATGTTATCTTCACATGTGAAAATATCACCTTTGCTATGACTACATAATAAATCGCGCCTTTCACAACAAAAAACTATTAAAGCGAAATGGTTTGGTATTCCTTTGGCGTTTATATAATAAATAGAACATTACATAGCCGCTTGCAGATACGAAATTTCTCTTCTCGTGTTGAAAAGAAATATTTCACTCGTTCGTTGCGCTCACTAGTCTGCTACACAGCCGTTTTTAGTGTCGTCACGCAACGCTCCTCCCCACTAACTTTTACCAGGATCGGTTCGTTCTTCATTTAACGTGCATATGTGCTGATATGTAGTGAAGAATTTAATGTACCGAATGTGCTCATTGTGTTCTGTGAAGACTAAACTCTCAAGGGTACTGATTCAAAAAGCAATGTTATAAATTATCGATGAGCGATTTCCCGAAACTATACCTGGCAACTTTATGAGCACATCCATGTTGTGCATCGCAATTTGCTCGACTTGCTTGCTGTTGCTGCTTATCTCCTAAATTTTGAATAGGACTCGACTACGACAACACTGTAGTTAATTGCTTGTTTTCACGTGACGATTTTGATTATTCTGTCATTCACACATGGGGCAACGATAAAAGCAAAGCTGTGATTGGAGGAGTCACAGTACCGCAAAGGTGGCGCGAACACCTTCCAGAAAATGGGAGCTGAATTATAATTGGCTAATCACGGGAAAGGAATGTAGTTCGGTTTTCAGTAGCCGTTAGTGGGGAGGAGCGTTGCGTGACGACACTAAAAACGGCTGTGTAGCAGACTATGCGCTCACTCGTGAAATATTTTTCAACACTCGAAGAGAAATTTCGTATCTCCGCGCGGCCATGTAATATCCTCTATTTATGTAATAGAAAAGCCTGTTTAGGCGGCTAACATGGGAAAATGCAGATTCTTATTTGCGGGTTTTTTACTCTTTTATCAACGTAAGATTCGAAGTTACTAAACTTGACGACTTCGGTTAGATCGTTCATGTAAAGGCTGAAAAGTATCGGGCCAAGAACTGAGCCCTAAGGTACCCGATGAGCTATAGTAACTGGTTCTGACAGTAAATTCCAAACCACAGAACAGCTTCGTTGGAAGTAACCAAATTCTGTTATTTACAAAATAGGGCTGAATAGAATAGGCTGTGGAAGCCTTGCTTAAGTCAATATGGACCCCTGCCGCAATTTGCTTTTTATTCATGGCATTAACGATATGTCATCGATGACTAGCAAGCTCAATAATTGCGTCCAGTGGTGTCTTTGATGACGAGTGAGTTCGCTTTCTGGGTAAAGCAGCTATTTGTTTAATTGACCCAGGGTGATTCCCTCAGCTACTTTAGCTTTCATGGGCACAGTCTACAGAAGAGAAGAGAGGCCGATTATTATTTGGTACTTTGTGGTCCCCCTCTTGGGGAGGGACCATTTCACTTCGTGGCTTGCGAAAAAATTGAGCAAGTAAATGAGTGGTTGATTATGTTCGTCATTATCAGGAGAATGTACTCAAGACAATCCATTATTACTGAGACGATGCCTTGGCGTCTTGTTAGCAGGTAAGGCCATCATCACTTTCCGTACTTCCTTACAATCAGAAACTGGATGGAATTCAAACAGGTCGTTATCAGTATGTGGCACGTCGATTATTGAGAAAAAAGAAACCAAACAAAACAAACGAAGAAAGCAACGGTAACAACAGCAACAAGAAGTTCAGAAAAGAGTCGAACCTGGCGGATTACTGGTATGCTCGGGAAACTCCTAACAAGTGCGCCAAGAAGTTAGTGCTTTTAAACAAACAAAAAACATCATACCCAAAGAATTTCCGTGAAAATTCTGCTAGACGCAGTTTGTTCCTTATAGTAGATCCAACGACGCGACGGCAATGAGAACGTCGCATAAAAAGTGAATTTGCGTTCTTTCAGTCTATATCGCACTTATTCCTACCCACTTACTTTGTCAAATGTAGGCGAACCCTCTTGGACTTGAATTCCTAGGCACCATATCCAAGTACAGTAAGAGAAATAAAATTTCGTCGTTACTTGTTTACGTCCTCCATAAAACGCGAAATTAGGCATGTTCACGTCGTAGTCGTGCAAAAACAGGCAGAGAAATGTAGAAAAAAAGCATGGTGCACGTACAAAGTTGTTGTTTTGCTAATCAAACCTATTGTTTTTTCGACGTTCTCGTTAACGTCCGCGTTGTTTGATCTTAAAGTCCCTAGTGACTTTATCTGAAACGCCCTCCCAAATTGCTTGTATTCTACTTAGTATGGCAGCCCCGCCCTTGCATATAATTTTCAGGATCGAAAACTTTAGTTAATGGTCCCTTTCACGCCTATACTTTGCCCAGCCTGCACTGAATGCGATGGTATTTGGAAAGTAGCGAATTCACCAGTCCTGTCTGCCCGATAACACACCCAACAACTACAGCTCTTGAGTCAGAATAAAACGTTCCTGAATGAAAAAAGAAAACTTTTTTAAAAATTCACCATTTGACTGATATAAGGGTTGTTGTGACATCATCTGGGTTTGACTGACCCTGTCAAAGTATAGATGCAGACAATTTAGTAGTTTGACTGCTTGAAAAGAAAATAACCGAAAATTTCCTTGAAAAATATATGGGAACCACATTCGACCTCTGCAATCGTGTATGTTCAGACTGGCCAATGGTGAAGTGTCTGTGAAAATAAGTTACACAAGCACTTTCTAAAATTCCTCGCAGTACTTTTGGTGATCATCTCAGGCCTGATTTGAGTTTTTCACGTAACTTTTGAAAGGGAAATTACTTAAAATGTTGAAAAGCGGCCCCAGGAAATCAAGACCCGTATCTGCGACCGACAGGATGTTTAGAATAATATAATTATTTATACTTATGTTGAAAGTGATCTTAAAAGATGTATAACAAAAACAAAAAGGGAAAAACGTTGAAAGCGAATTTCCGTCTAGGTGCTGTAGCTTTAGTCAGAGTAAAACAATGCCCCCTTTAGAGACTAACCATAAGTTTTCCAGCTTTGAACCCTTTTACACAAATTCAATTATATATTGTTCCTTTATATATTGTTTTAACTTTGACACGATAGATTAAGTATTCAAGTAGATACATCATCGCTGGTGTGACTTTATGAAAAGTATTTGGATAATCTGAGCAGCATTCGGGTCCATTTTTATAAGGAAGAGGAAAGCTGTAGTTCGAGAGGAAGCCATGCGGTGGACGGCCTGGTATCAATTGGGGTGCAGTTCTAAACTGAAAAAATGTTTCTCTCCCGCTTGAATCCCTCGTACTCACGGGCCTCACTCCCTGAGATTTGAGACATTTTCCTACAAATGTGTCTTCACCACCTCCTCGTGGGCAGCCACCCTCGTCCAGCGCTTTCTTGAATATTCTTAACGTTTCGCGACTGAAAACGTAGCCAGCCCCTCCAGTGTTGTATCCGCCATGCGTAGTAAACATCCTTCCGATATAATGAGGATCCGAGGGATTTAACTTGGTCAGAAAATTTCGGAGATTTTCCACGATCACGTAAGTGTCGTCATCTGCCTTCAAAAACCAATCAGCGTCGTGCAGATGGTGTTGATAAATATATCTGAGTGATGCACGGGTTTTGTCGAACAGTGTGTTTCTTCCTTCTCTAACATTTAACCCGATTGCAGGAAATCTGGAATCCGCTTTCGAACTGAAGAACAAAAGCATATCACAGCGTTTCCCCCATGTATCCTTCACTGATTTTGCTCTTTTAGTGAGGCTGGTTGGAGAGGTTGGTATCCAACATAAGATTCGAGATCGTTTAATTTCCATTCTGTTGAAACCATTTTGATTAAGATGTTTTTCTGTACCAGCATTGTATTGGCCACGTTTGTTTGCTATTTCGAGGCGTTTATGCCAAAACTGCATGTAAATATAATATTCAAGCAAGAACATTGTCACCATACCAAAAACTAGAATGCAGGCAAATGGAAAAATAATACTACGCAAACTTCTCGTACCGTGTCGTACCATGTTTGGTTTGGTTACAATTTGCTGGGTTGACTTTCTCCAAGCTGCCCTCAAAAAGTTCAGCTTCTCGGATACCTTAAATTGAAAAGCATCTATAAAGAAAAAACACGAGAAAGCAAATGAAAGCTTGTTGTCTACTTACACTATCCATGTGGTCAGATTGAAAACTGCCTTCCCAATTAAAATAGTAGTGATTATTCATTCAAATGGCCCCTGGCTTCAATTCTACATAACCAGCTAATGTTAAGACTTCAATTCTACAGGCTTCAATTCTTAAGACAGGAAAGGACAGAAAAGGCTTAAGGCTTCAATTTTACATAACCAGCTAATGTTAAGATTACATAAGTTTATTTTGCTTCTAGAAATTTAACAAATGGCCATTTAATCGTACTTTGGCTTGATCACAGTTTATAATTCTTCCCTTAGTATATTCCGTTGAAACCTTGACGTAGTGGTTTTTTTCTACTTTTTTTTCTTTCCTTAACTAACTGTAGTGTTTTACTCTGTGAATTATGAAATACGTTTGCTCTTCTTTTTATTTCTTTCTTCTTGCCTTTGAGTTTATCTTGTTTAAATTCGTTGTAAAATTGTGATAAACATCAATAAAAACAAAAAAATCTTGATGGTAATCAAATCCTTCTTTTTTAGCAATTGGCTAAAGCTATCCCCATGATCTTTCACACGCACGTCTTTTTTTTTTCCAAAAATAACGGCGGAACATCAAGATTATTCAGTTTTAACCGTGTTTGTAACCGTGAAAACGTCATGCCAAAATAACTCGCAAACGTTATCATTTTGCTCAAACTTCACGAAAATTGTCGTAGGTATTGGAGGAAAACATTGTGGGAAAAAATTCCCAGTAACGCTAATCAATCTTTATCTTTCGGCAATTGGCTAAAGCTATCCACATGATCTTGCACACACGCTTTCGAAAAGGTTGGATCTACTTTGCGGTGAAATTGTCAAAAGCTCTTGTTTTTTTCCAAAGATAACGAAAAAACATCAAGATTGCCCAGTTTACACTGTGTTTCTGACCATAAAAACTTCATCGCAAAATAATAATTTGAAACGGCGTTCTCATAGATTTTGCTCAAACTCCGCGAACATTGGGGCAGGTATTGGTGGAAAAAAATTTCAAAAAAAAATCCCAGTGACGAGAAATGGGGGATGCAAGGGAAAATAGATAATGAAGTCATAATGGCGTTGCTATGACGACTCCGATGACAACAAAGCGCCCATTGCTCATCTTTTGTCTGAGAAAGCTGTGGTAATCGGTTTTCCATATCTTTTTTAATGGCAACGTAGTAAATGCTTAAAGCCTGAAAAATCCAATCGAGCCACCTTAACACATGATCTTCCAAGTACTTCCATAAAAACATACACAGAAATAAAATGCTTAAAATAATAAATATAGTGGTGTAAATTAGGTCTATAAAATGTCTGACAAGCATGTATCGCTATATATAAGGATATAAGCACTAAAAATAAATTAAGAGTGGCATGAATAGTAATTCTGACAGTTAGAATTATTAACTAGTTCCCGTCATGTTTGTTTTTCTAATTCTAGATGCAAACGTTGTTAAAGATGAGATATATCTAATTTCTTCCATAACTAATTGGTATAAGCACACAAGAAAAACAATTACATTTACAGGTATATTTGAGGAGCCTACGAGTGCGTTGTCAAAAGTGTTTTCCTATTTATAAAAAATATCGAAATGTAACTTGTATGGTTAGTGAATTCCTATTAAGTTTTTCTTTTCGATCTTGTTTTTTCTTTTTCCTTTGACAAAACATTATTAGCGTTACGGATACCTTTGAAATAGAACAGGTGTGAACATAGGGCCATTATCGTGAAAAGATTTATTAAATTTCACCCGACTGATGTTGAAATTTGCAAAGTGATATTAAGTATAGTATCCAGTATCAGCGTATCAAGCGATGCTTAAACCAAACTTTTTTCGACGGATTCTTATCAAACTTCAAAAGCGCTGAAGTCCTATTTCGAACCTTTCGTTGAAGACTTCTTGGCCATGTTTGCAACAACGAACAAGAACGACTAACTCTGTTATTCTAAACAGCAAAAGAACGAAATTTAAATGTAAAGTAATTACACCACTATATTTAGATAGCAGAAAGGCATTGGCTTCCTTGAATAACCAGAGAATTTGGAAGCCAAATTGAATAAAACAAATTACGGCACGGCCCTCCGCAGACACACAAATTGTAAAATGGACAACACACAAACGCACACATGCACAAACGTCTACCTACGGAAAAAAGGAAATAAATTAAGCTTAAAGCATACATAACTCGCCTTGCCGCTTGTGAAGTGGAACTTCCGATGTTCGGTTTCTCGCAAAAGCAAAACAAAAACGCGCTTACTGTAAGCTAGTCAACGTACCTCAGTTGAAATTACGTTTGACGCGCGCAGAACTGAACTTTCACACAATGAATCAAGCTTCGTCAGGCTAAATCAAGCGTCAAGCTTAATCAAGCTAAATCTTATCACCCATAAATGACATGCATCGTCTACAAGAATATAGCTACACTATTTCTAGAAAAGAGCGCAAAAGTGCACGCAACAACCCGAAAGGTATTGTGGGTATTTAATGAACCCTTTTAAAAGCCGGAAAACTGAGAAAATGGCACATAACGCCGTGGACACAAGTGTGCAGGTATTAAGATATAGATTTATCCAGAGTTAAAAGGAAAGCTCCCGTTTATGCATTTTAATTGTCTTCAGACGATGGACTTGGATCCATTGCAAAGTAATCCACAAATCTATACTTAATAGTCCAGTTTCGAATTTAAAATTACCGCTGAATATAAACATTAACGACACATTCATACAGGGTTAGCCTCGACGAAAAGTAAAATATTCAGAAATTCTGGCAAGTAAGCGTTTGAAATTTGAATATACACAATAGACAGAGTAATAAACATACCTTTTTCTCGTTGGAATTTGTGAATATATTATTTCAGATTGAGGCTAAGGCTGTAAAAGATGCGTCTTCACTTCTTTAATTCAGCAGTCATAGCGAACTCGAAAATGGACTGTTTTAGGGGAGGACCATATGACTTTTGACTATTAGCAGAAAAAAAAAAAATAACTGCTCAAGGGAAAAACTTAAAAAACACGACTTCCATACTCACGGTTAGCACCTGAGCCTTCGATACGGTCATGTGATACTGGTCAGCGCATACCCTGTTTTGACAGCTGTCAATTGACCATACTGGCCTAATATATAGACTTAGCCAGGGTTACAAGCAAAGCTTCCGTTGATAAGTTTATTATCTTAATCAAACAATAAACTTGTAATCCACAGATCAGTTAAGGGACTGTGAAATAATTATCTGGAGGTGGGGAGGGGGTGGGGGGGTTCTAAATCTAATGGGGGAGGGCTAAAGTTAAATTGTGGTGTAGGGTGGAGGGGCTTGATGTCAATTTTTTAAACATAGAGGGGTTTCACAAGTTATATTGATGTTTAAGTGGTACACTTAAATTTATTCAAATTAACTCAACTTCTTTGTTAATATTGAATGACTTCTAAGAATATCAAGAACAGTACATGGCACACCTAGAACCTGTAATAATAAAATGATGCATAATCTGCAAACTCAAGAGAGTGTGTTATTAAAGGCTTCTTTAGAAAAAAATCAATAACAAACATGTCACAACGTATGTGTAGTTTGACATAAATCACAAACAGGCAAAACAAACCTTACTAAACATGACAATTTGAGGCCTAATCAGTAACAAAAGCTGTGAACAATGTCCTGCTTGTGTGGTCATTGAACAACTGGCGTGGTTATTGGACTGTTGCGATGGACAAAAAACAAAAATAACAAAAAAATAGTGTGAATTTGAAGAAAATATTTCTGGAAGGAAAGTTGCCCTCTTCTGATGACAAAGCAGCACAAGAAGCATGTTCAAAGCTAAACCTTGACGAAAGGTTTTGTAAAGAATAGTTCAGCACCTTGGATTTCTTGCTTCTAAGGCAGAGAAAAGAAAACTGGAGAGAAACACCATTCCAGCAAAATATGCTGGGAGAACAGGGAAGATGTCGAAAGGCTGTCGACCAATCTGGGTGGGGGGTACTTTGGTTAATGTTTACTGAGTATGTGCCGCTGGCCTCTCAGAGCCCCTAGACCATTATAGTCTATTTTTTGGCCAATTATAGACCCCATCACCTTTTGGAAAATGTAATTTTCGCGATCCCAACTTAGTCACTTTCTATTTATGCATCTACCTTATCAACGTGGTTTCAAGCGCCGCAATGTAATGCGGTCAATGCGAACTTATTGTTAAATTTAATATACAACAACTTTCTGATTTTTTAACCGAGAATCTTCCCATTTTGAATCCCTACTCCCTACTTACCCCCAAAATCCGAAAATTTTGCGACCCCATTCTAGTAAATCTATCGAAAATGCGACCTCATTATAGTCACTACAGTCGTGAAAATGCGACCCCATCCAGCGGCACATCCCTATAAGCTTCTTGTAAGGGAGTACTCCCCCCCGGGATCGACCAATAAGCAACTTAAACACTATATCTTCGACACCAAGGTGTAAAGCTATCTGGAAACAAGGGCCAATTAATTGAACGAGTACTCAATATGTATGCAGATGGAACATTTGAAACTGAAAGGCATCAAGAGGAAGATGATGAAAGTATGTCTGAAGAAACCGAAGGAGAAGAAGAAGATGGGAGAACATGTCTGAAGGTGAATCAAGCGAAACCAGTGGAGATGGATACACTGAGCAGAGTTTTGAAGAATGTACATCTCTCACAAAGATATCGCTCAATTAAATGCGTAAAGGTAATTTAAAATTCTATAAGCTATAAAGTTCCTCCAAAAAGATAGGATGTGAAGGGGAGGGGAGATGGGGGCTGGTAGTGATCTTATCTTAAAATAAATAAATAAATAAATAAATAAATAAATAAAGCAGTGTCTTGTCTCGTCTAAAATGGGGGGGGAGAGGCGTAACTTCACTTAAAGGCCTACTCTGCTCATTTCAGAACCCCCTCCCCCCCCCTCCAGATAATTATTACACAGTCCTTAACTTTAGGGCAGATCATATGACCTTTGTGGGAAAGGCTAAGTGATTTTAGAGAAAAACAATTTGCCAGCAGTCCAAGAATGAAACAAAGCTCACATGGAGTTGATAGTCTTATATGTACACCTAAAAAGTAGCAATCACGCACCTGTGATCACAGAAGATTAGGCTTGGAAAACAAATTCTTCCTAAACAAAATAACTTAATCACTTGAGACTTTTCACCCCTCTTTTATACCCATTCAGCAAGTTAAAACGATGATCTCCGATGACTTTGACAGGCGGTGCATTTCTCAACCAAAAACCCAATAAATAAACCAGCCATGAATAACAGCTAGCAGCTTTATTCCATTTTCTACATCATCCAGTGGAAAAAGACAGTTAAAACATCATAAGATGACACGAAACTCTGTGAGGTTCAGCTGTCAGTGAACAAGTTTCCAGATGCTGCATACATTTTGAACTCAACTGATTTCTTGCGTGATTTCCCGCCTGGAAAAACGTGGGTTGTACAAATGCATCGCACGATTTCCCACCAAGAAAATATAACGTACTCCATCCCCAGACCGGCTGTCTCCGGAGAATGTACGGACCGACGGCCTACGCTGTCGTCACAACGAAAATTTCTCAGATGGATAGGTTACCAAATTTTCTTAGCAATGGCGCTTCGCTCGAGCGCTTGGTGCGCTCGTGGAGCTCCACTATCATCAAGTTAAAGACAGGTTACAGGCTTCCACACTAGCTATAAAACGTGACATTTCACATTATTTTCTCTGTTGTGCAGACTGCCGGGGGAAGGGCAGGAGGATGTACGGTCACGTGATTACCAACACTTCTCAGATGCATGGATAACCAAATCTTCTTACCCATACTGTACCTACAAGAAAGGAAAGAATTTGGTTCGACAGCTAAATAATTTTAAAAACATACTTCTCAAACTCATTAATAATTCATGAAGAAAATTCAAAGGAAATTAATGTTTAATGAGTGTTTGGATATCAGATGAAAAACTGCTCATTTTTGCATCCTTAATTTCTCCTTCAAAAATGATTTTGTTTGAGAAGAAATATCAAACATTCGACACAGTGTTTCATCACCAGATGAAACACCTCGAAGTTCGTCAAAAATACTCCGCTGCGCGTCGTATTTTCAACTCTCTTCTCGGTGTTTCATCGGGTGATGAAACACTGCGTCTCATGTTTGATATATTAGGGACCTTAAGATTTGAGGACGTCCTCCGTGTAGAACGCGACCGGAAGTTAAGATGAGCCTCTTGCGAGTATTGCGCATGACCATTCTTGGCTGGGACCGCGTTCAATCTCTGAACAGAACGCCATGTTTTGATTTTGGCGTCGTGAGTGGAACGTGAGTAGACTTTACCTGAAATTTTCATAAAATTGCACTTTCATTTGCCGATTTTTGTCACTTTTGTAATTCAGAACATATCTTCTTACTTTTGGTACGCCTCTCTTTTTTCCACAGGTGCAAAGAAGTGAGAAAACGCTAACAAATCACTCTGTTCAATGGCCTCGTGCGTATCCGGGATGTCAGAGTAAGGATTTTCCTTCACATGTTTTTCATATTTTTTCACACTTGTTTGAGGGTAGTGATAACGTACTTGACAGAATCGACAACTGTGTGTATTTTAATGTTTTCAGGGACTGAAGGCGAATTTTGTTTAATTCAGGGGGAAATTCATTTATGTTCGATTCTCAAACACGACCTAAACAGTTCAAAAACGTGAAGTTTGAGTGACATCGAAAAAATAAAAGGTTTACGAGCATCAAGCAACTTTTATGTCACCGAAACTTTATGAAAGCTTTTGCATGGCTTCCCGAAAGTTTTTATCTTACTGTTTTTCAACCGTGTCAGCATAACTTACAGTCTTCAATTGCCAATTTGCCTTCAGTTCCATTCTAACCATTCTGCTTGTTGTTATCATTCATTTGTAATTCACCTGCCCTCCACTGACTATGGATTATCCTTAAGTTTAACTGGCTGTATTTTATTATACTCAGAATAATTTGTTCAAAACTTTGTTTACTTTTAAAATTGACCACCATGCTGTCTGAGAAAAAATTGATTTCTTTCATGCTTCATAGACAGTCTTTATAGTTTTGATCAGAAAAGAGAAATAAACTTGGATCAATTGATGTGAAAAAAAAATTATGGAAATGTAGAGAAATTTACACATCAACCAACCCTGAGACTCTCTTTAAAAAGTGACGGTTGGTATTGAACAAGCTGGTTTTCAGTGGCAGTGAATACATGTTGTAGGTAAAAATGAATCCAGGTTAAAATGATTTCAACCTAGGTTGATTTGTATTTTTCTTTGTTAAGGTGGGTAATTTACATCTAAAACAAAGGAAAATACAAATCAACCTAGGTTGAAATCATTTTAACCTGGGGTTCATTTTAACCTACAACATACACACCTTTTTTTTTTTTTTTTTTGCACAGTCTCAACTTTCCAGGAGTGCAAGTGTGGACTAAAGATCATGATCTACTTTTTATGTAGAGAAGTTTTATCAGTCAATCCATACTCGGCCAAAAAAAATTCAAATGAAAGAGGAAGGCTGTGGGACAGAATCAGTGCCAACTTGAACAGCACATCAGATGTCTACTTTTCTGTCACAAAACGATCAGTGCGTGACCACATTGCAGTTTTGATAAAAAAATACAAAAAGAAAATGAAAGATGAAGAAAAAGCCAGTGGAATAAACCCTGAACCCACAGAGCTTGAACAAGCACTAGCAGAGATAATTGAGATGGAAGAAGCTGCAGAAACTGAACATCAAGATGGTGATGGGAGAAGGAAAGAAAAAGATGAGGCTGACAAGCATAAGGCAGAAAGTATGAGAAAAAACTGGCTATGGAAAAGTTGGGAGAAACTCAGAAGAGGGCAGTTGAAGAGGGAGAGCAGGATTGTCAGAAGAAGAAGAGGAGAAGTGGGAATGATACAATTGAGTATCTGCGAGAGAAAAGTGAGAGTGACAAAGTACTCAAAGAGGAAGAGCTGTCACTCAAGCGTAAACAACAGGAACTGGAAGAAAAAAAGCTAACCTCATTTCTAGATCAGCAGAAATCCATGATGCAGTTAATGCAGGAGCAACAGCAGCAGCAACAGGTTCAAACTAATAACATCCAAATGATGATGATGCAACAGTCCCAGGCTTTCATGGCCGTGCTTGATAAACTTACCAACAAAATGGGCTAGAACTAGTGAACAACAAGTCTTTTCTGCCCACTAAGTTGTGTTTTAATTGGTTGTGTTTACCAGACAGGCTCTGAATATTAACAGATAAGACCTTGGCTTTCTGAAACTTTATTTCAACCTGTGTACTTGGTATTAGTCTCACCCTTTTTCAATGTTAAGGATTATTACATTTTAACTGTATAACTGGCTTGTATGTTTCAAGTACTTGTTGGATCTTTAATATTTCAATTTCATACATTTCACATATCAAAGTGAAATATTTTTTTAGTCTAAATAGACTGTCCAGTTGGAGCTGTTATAGACAAACAACAGAAAAAATGCTTTGTTGCTGTTAAGCTGTTGTTGTTGTTGTTATTGTGATAGGAAAAAAAATAGGGCATTAAGCAAAGTATTCTTGTAAAGTGGGGGGATCCAAATTGAAAAACTCGGAAGTGGAATTTCCATATAGGCATGTCAGGGCATTCCTGAGTAGCACACAAACTATGTACATTTTTCCTATTTGACTCAGGCCTATCTTTAAGTTTTTCTTGAAGTCAAGAAAACAGAAAGAATTCACCACATCCCCAAACAACCATTCCACTGAGGTTCGCACTGTGCTCATTGCGGCATTAAAGTTTTGCATCTGGGGGGTCAAGATTCCATTTCTAAATGGTGCTTGAATGTGTATTCGTAATGGATAAGCAGGATCCCCATAAATGCATAGTGGCTGGCCTGTTGGTGAGAATGCATAGCGTTGAAGATCATTGTAGAGGCCAGAGTCCCGCAGCATCCCTGCATCATGCTTTTTGCCCTCTGAAAATACGAACAAAGAAACCCCAAAAACATTCATACTACATTCATGATGTGCAATGAACCTCTTGTCAAATTTGAAAAAAAAAATTATTACAGGATTTTCTAATGGTAAAGAGAGTGTTACATACATAATGGAATGTAAGTTTCAGCTTGGGAGAGAGGCTATCTGATTTTTAGATTTTTAAATTTTGGATGTAGCACTCCACCCTTTAGTAAGGCAAATACTCCACATTAATTGTGTTTGCTTTATTGGATCTTGGTTAAGTTTTAAACTAAACATCCAAAATTATCTTAAACATCCAAAATCTATTTATCCAAAGAGGTTTATTTATTTAAAGGTCAAAGCCAGTGACTTGTATGGTTTGGGTTCAGTGTATATATTCAGATATAATTAAAAATATTTAGATTAAAAGTAACAAAAAAAAAACATATAACGAAATGAACAAACACAGACAGTTTTCTATATATCATGCAAACAAACAGAATATCAAATGGGGGCATGCGATTAGTGATTATGCAAGGATGTTCACTTGATGGTGGATCAAATGCTACAGCAGTTTAAAGAGCAACAGTGGAAGAGAAGACAACAGATCATTAGTCCAGTTGGTGTGTAAAAAGGTGATTCGATTTTTCAGGAGGTATCACTCATTAGCTCCTGAATTTTTTTTTTTTTTAATCCATTTTTTTCCCAAGGTTTTCAGCTGAGGACTATCCTCTCAAGCAGTCTCAAGGTAAGAAAGAAACTTGCAAGTGAAAGCTATACTTAAAAAGAAAACTTACCTACAGGACCGTAAAGATTAGCAACTAATCCATTTGGCGTGACAACTGATTGAAATTTTAGGGCATGAACCCTTTTATGGCCATTGTATACCAGTCTTTGATTGAGGTCTGGTCGACAAATTGGCCGAACTGTTCCATCTACGAAGCCGAAACAGTTGTCCAGCGCTGCTCCTCTGTTCGAGACAGCGTCAGCATAGATCTGCAATGAATGGGCGTTCAGAACTGTGTGATTCCAACCAGTGATCCGGTGACTGTGGTGCTCAAAGATAAAATCAACAACTTGATTGCTTATCATTGAGATTTCAGGAACCGGTCTACCGAAAGTGCTCATCAAATCGCTGTATCGACATGGGTATGCAAGTCGCTTTAGCAACATACATAACGCTTCGGTGCCTCTGCAAACTGTCCCCTGTTTGCATGTGATCTTTTCTGGCAATCCAAGGACATTCAGCAGAAGAGGAATATCATTCTTTTGGAAGCGGAATTCTGTCTTGCATTCAGCCTCGTCTTTGTCTTGTAGGCAGAATTTCTTGTAATCCCAGTACGGATATTCTGGATTTTTCGAAGTGTTTAGGTCGTAAAGCAACAGAAATTCGTCTTCAGTGATCGAACCCTCGCAAAAGGTCAACAGAAGCAGGTCTCGCGCGTTCCTAAAAGTCGTCATGATATATAAAACAGCTTAATTCTCAGATGAATAGAAGTTTCACGTCTCGTTGTTTACGCGGAACTTCTTAAGTCAAAGTTCCCGCGTCTAGAACGTCGCGCTCTCCCCAGGCCCCTGTATGCCACGACGTTGGATTTTAAGACGCCGTCCTCAAATCTTAAGGTCCCTATTACTTCAATAATTTACTTTACTTCTTAGTTTCTTAACCGATCTTTTTCAGCCAAAATACAAGGGAACAATCATAAAACCCTGCCGCAATACGTGCAGTTGCTTAATTCTAATTGTGCCCTACATGACGTCTCATTGGAAAAGTGCGATTAGAGCTAAACGCAAAGCAAATGACAAGTACTTGAAAGACAAAACGCCAGAAAATTGGGAATTACGACGTAAAGCCAGAAACGAGGCCACTAAACAAAGAAGAATCGCCATCAAACAGTACTGGTATAATAAGTCAAACGATTTGAAAATCAATCCCAAGGCGTTCTTCAAAACTTTCAAGCCATTTTTGGGCTCTAAGAGCTGTACTGAAAGAAACGACATCCACTTAAAAATAAACGGCAGTATGATAACGAATCAACAACAAGTGGCTGAGGAATTGGTTGAGCATTTTGCTACCTTGGCGGATGGCATTGGCGGTACAGCGATTGAAAGAAAGTCAATAGAGGACTTTAGAGACCATCCTTGTGTTCAGAGGATACAACATGAAAATAGGAATTCCACTCAGACCATTGAAATCGAATTGGTTACACAGGGACAAGTCCTTGCAGTTCTCGATTCGCTGAACATAAACAAAGCCACCGGCACTGATGGAATTCCTTCAAAGGCTTTAAAAACAGGTGCTAATGAATTATCCGCTCCACTAACCACCTTGTTCAATTCTTGTATTAACAAGAGTGCATGGCCTAGTGAATGGAAGTACGGGCATTGGGCCCCAGTATACAAAAAGGATGACAGGAATGCAAAGGAAAACTACCGGCCCATAACTCTCTTACCATGTGTAAGTAAAGTTCTTGAGAAGTTGGTTGGAGCGCAGATCAACTCTGGCTTTGGTAATCGCATTTACCAACATTCATCCGCTTATCGCAAAGCTCACAGCTGCGAAACAACATTGATCAATTTAGCAGAAGATTGGAGACTGGCGAGGGATCGAAAACAGGTTGTGAGCATACTTTCAACTGACATGTCAAAGGCATTTGACTCGTTACACCCACCACTACTTCTGAACAAGCTTGAAGCGTACGGTTTTCAGAAAAGCGCTATTCAACTTTTAAACAGCTATTTAAATGAACGGAAATATCAAGTAAAGATCGGCCGTCATGTTAGTTCGAGCCGATTCGTGAGTCGTGGCTGTCCTCAGGGTTCCGCGCTTGGCCCGTTGTTATGGAATGTTTTCCAGAATGACCTATCCTACTGCCTAACAGCGAACTTGTCTATGTATGCCGACGACCATCAAATTTACCACGCAGGAGCAGACCAGGCAGCTGTGACTTCCCAGTTAAAGGATAGTGCCAACTTAGCAACAACGTGGTACGATTCTAACTTATTGGCGGGAAACCTCAAAAAGTACCAAGTTTTGAACTTGGGCTTCACTCAAAATGACAGCAATATTTGCGTGAATGATGTTGTGATTGAAACTAAAGATAATATCATACTTCTAGGAGTAGTGTTGGATTCTAAGCTAAATTTCTCTGAGCATGTAATCTCTATCTGTAAAAAAGCCAGCCAGAGAATTGGTGTTCTAATGAGACTACGTAATCTAATTCCTATGAAATCTAAGTTAATATTATTCAAAAGCGCGATATTACCATTCCTCACGTACTGTCACCTAGTGTGGCATTTTTGTAAAGCGAGTGACACTCGAAAGCTTGAAAGACTACAAGAAAGAGGACTTAGAGCGGTTTAGTTTTTATATGGAGAAAAGTTGTCCCAAGGTCACCCGTAGGCTCGATTACAAGCCTTTGTTCTGGAAATGAGCCCGCGCTCTTCCTCCGAACAGACAGCTGGACGCATGAGTTTGCTATTTGAAACCTTAAGATCGAGGATTAGCCATCTTAGCACAAACGGCAATCCGCGGTTTCACGTTATCCGTCTGCCCATATTAAGGAATTAAGATTCGTGGTCGGTAGCTCGCGGCTGCCATGTTTGTTTTCATTCTTTCGTTCACTTCTATTTTAGTTGACAAATCGTCTTCAAAGTTACGTTCCTATGAAAAATAGTTCAATTGTTGATTAGCGAAAGAGTTCTAAAAAGGAGTATTTTCTCTCAAACGTGGAATTGTGATGTTTCATAATGCAAAAAATCTTGCGGTAAATCACTTACCTCTGGAGCGTGATCTAGACGTACAAACGGGAACCTCAAACCGCAACTGACGGCAAGGCACTAGTCACGTGCTTTCCGGACGTTTGCGGTTTGCGGGATAAAAACCTCGATCTTAAAGTCTCTAGTGTCAATTACCACCAATCATCAGATCGTTAAACTATAAAGGAAAGCTAAATTGTACCAAAAAAATACATAGCTTACCTCTCTGTAAACCCCTCAGTTGCACGTTTTGTTGCTAGCCTTTTTCCTGTCGATTCGTTGTTCTAAGTTTCATTGATCTATATTTTATATTAGGACAAAACACTGAAACATAAAATTCTGATAAAATCATTAGGAAGAAATTTCAAACACGGCTAGTTAAATTGACCAGAAAACCTCACAGAATGTAACGTATAGAATACAGGAGCGTAGCCAGGGTTTTTCTCTGGCTAGTTTTTGGCCCGGCTACTAGTACGCAGTGACCTCACTAACACTTTAAGCTCTTCAGCTTTTTAGCTCACCCCAACAACGCATAATTTATTACAAGCGGTAGACTGATCAAACCAATATTATATTTGTAGGCCCGGGCCTACAGGTCTGTGGGCTGGCTACGCCCCTGGAATAATATAAGTAAACTGGGGGTTGAAGCTGACCTAAAAGATGCAAAAATGAAATAACGTAAAGACACAAAAACAATTTCCGTCTAAGTGGTGTAGACTTCATCCGAGAATTTGGTAAGAAAAACAAGATTCTAGACTTATAAGTACTACAACTTACTTTAACCCCTTTGAGAAATTTTCATTTAGCTTTTAATTTTGACACGAAGATTATTTATAAGTATTAGTAAGTAAATACATCATTTCTGGTGTGACGTTATGGGAAGTATTTGGGTAATCTGAGCTGCATTCGGGTCCATTTATATAGGGAAGAGGGTAACTATAGTTCGAGAGGAAGCTATGCGGTGGACGGCCGGATTTCAATTGTGGTTCAATTTTAAAATGAAAAAAAGGTTTTTCTTCCGCTTGAATCCCTCATATTCACGGGCTTCACACCCTGAGATCTCAGACATTTTCCTACAAATATATCTTTACCACCCTTCAAGGGGCATGCAGCTATCCTCGTCCACATGGCGTCATCAAAATTCAAACTTTTAAAGAAATTATCAATCCTTTAAAAATTTTACCTTCATTAAGTATTAGAGCAGCTAAAAAGTAAACATTTATACAAAATTTTCGCAATTTTCGCTTCGAAGAAGTTCTTCGTTTTATGATAGAATATGCTTGAATTTTTAGTAAGTAAGCTTTGGCCCAAAGCAGCACGTACCTGGCGGCCGAGCGAGCTGTTGTGTAGGTTAAAAAGTTGACTTATTTTGAGGGATTTTGCTATCTGAAGAGTCATTGTATGAAAGTATTCCTTTTAATGTTTAAAAGTTCATCGCGAGATACGTTCACACTTTCGTAACAAAATCTATTTTAATTTTATTTTAAATTTTGCCAAGCTATACAAAGAGGGATGGAGAGTTAGTAATATCACCGCTAAGCCAAAAAGGACTAAAAGATAGGCTTAAAGCATACAGAAATAGCCTTTGCACTTGTGACGTGGAACTTGAAGTAGGCCGGTTTCCCGCAAAAAACAAAACAAAACAAAACGAAAACGTACCTACATTGAAATTGCGTTTGAAATTACGTGGAGTTGAAATATATAGAGCAATCTCAAAATATCAAGCTGACTTAGTAATTTTCAATGGTAATATCCAAGGAATAGTGGAAAAAGTGAAATGCAAGTACACTATCATAGAAAAAACTGTAACAAAACCCGTGCTTTTGTTGGTATTAAATTTTTAACTTGACAGGGAGGGGATAAAAGAAAGAGAAGATGGCGAGATGGGTGGGGGCGATTATTCGAGGGAGGCAATTCATTAAGGGACAGCAATTATTCGAGGAAATAGGGATTTTAATTACAGTAAAAGCCCATGAGTAAGAACCTGTTAGGCTAAAATTTGCCAGTTAGTTCCCCTCTATACAAGAACTATACCTGTCTACCCTAAAATTTGAAACATTGATTCTTATTGTCTAAAATCTATAAGAAACGTTCTGTACACTTGGGCAAATAAGATAAGTCATCATTCAGGATGCTCTTTGGAAACATAGGTGCCTTATCACTCCAACTGCAATGTAATGGTCTGCAGAGGGCAGATTTTATACAAGGAATATCCTGAGTACCAGTAAATACGTCTTAGCTACAATATATTTTTTTCTTTATGAAAACTGAGATTTTACTTGTTGTAAACTCTTCGACTAAATAATATATTTGTTCGTTTGCTAAGGGCTTCGAGAATAGAAGTTCCGCTGTGAGACGCTCCTAATGTCATACCCAGATCTCCCACGGCCACCCGACCGGCGAATTTGAGATTTCACTTTTTAAATGCAGACAAACATACAGTTGTAAGCTGCTACCCTGGCTGTTGATATCCCGTTTACATCTTGAAAATGGCCATTTTGTCACATTGTTACGTATTCTTTGGCAGTAATGGTTAAAATCCCACTTCGCGTGAGACTTTCAGTTACAACTATCCTGAGCTTAAGGTCTCTCCTCAAGTCATGTTCTCGTTCCTGCGAATTATTTTTTTCACTGTGTTTTTTACAATTTGGCGAATCTCTCTGTACCGCCAGCAATAGACAATAGGATTTATTGATGAATTCAGGCAAATTAAGAACAAGGAGGCATATCTGGCTACGATAAACGAAACTTCAGAAGTATTTGTCTCGTACAATATTGTACAAGGAAAAAGAGGAAAATAACAAGCTAAAAAAACTACTGAGACAAATAAACTATTGTAGGCGGACTTCCTTTGTCGGTGTGCCTCCCTTGTTTGGGCATTTTGAAACTGATTTTGACTGTATATCTGATTTTGATGATACTTGACAACTTTGTAAATACGAACATACGCCACGGTAGTTAGAGCATATCCTGTTATGGAAATAACCGCAGCTACAATTTCAATTTCTTTTGGAAATAAAATATATAAGATCGGAAAGACGCAACTTGTTATCCATACAGACACCAACACTGTTGTAACACGTTTGGGTGTGACAAGCTCCTGATATCGCAAATGGAACAAAACAGCAAGAAGCCTGTCGCCTGCAATGACAATAACATTCTGGAAAGATGCAGCGACGAGAAGATAACCAAAATAGGAAAGCACGTTTAAAACCGTTGGACAAAGGAGGGCTAAGTTGTCTAGCCTTGACGCCATCTTCCACACGACGGCATAGATAATAGCGTCCATAAGCTGCGGCAACAATCCAACTGCAAGATCAGAGAAAGCCAGACTTACGAACATCTTCCTGACGTTGGCTGGTATCATTGAGGCCTTTATTAAAGCGCGGATAACTAAAAGATTTCCAAGAGTCGCCACGAGGGAAAATGTAAAGTGTAAAACACAGAAAGCAAGGATGCAAGACCTGCTGTGATGAACAAGTTTTAAAAACTGATCCGGCGTTTGACTACAGTAATGTTCAGCCATGGTTTAACCTGTCAAATTGTATAGATGAATTTTTCCTTTTGGTATTATATTTACATTGATTACCCCCTCGGTTAAGTAGCTACCTTTCATAAATGCCACCTGCTGTGATACGTTATATAGCCGCCGGCCGGTTCATTAACTACAGCTGTAAAGCTTGAGACTCAATGTTTATAGTTAGAGTACATACCGAAATTCTTATTGTTGGTACAAAATTTTAAGGTTTGAAACACCGAATTGAATTGTAAACAAGGCCAACTCAGAAAGCAATGCCAGGGGAAGTTTTTGCGAAATTAGTATGGAAAGCAAAACAATTAAACACCGTAATATATAGTCCTTTTCCATCAAGTTCCAATTATCTTTCTGTCGTCCTTTCTGTCCCATAATTGAGATGTAAGCTACTCCCTGCTAAGAGGAACCACCTGTTTAATTGAAAAGGATCGGTATAAGAATAGAACGTTAAATTATGTAAAACGTTGAAAGAGCGAGTTTTTTTCTTAACTGATCCCACCAGCAAATGATTTACACATAATAAAATAATGATAGATTTTGTCAAATTCTATTCTTTTATTTAAACTTTTAAGCAATCTTTCAGTATGAAAAATTTAGCACTTGTTCCTTAGTTCAAGGTGTCGTCAGCGAGGCTTTTGAGTCTTCAAAGCCAGTAATGTTTTTAAAAAAGGCTGCAAAAAAAAAAAAAAAGCAATTAGCCTCAACTGGAGACTCACGACGGTGTTATGTAGACTGAATGGACTGGCGCACAGCGAGCCCAAATAACCTTGCTCGTTTGGAAGCCCTTCCCCAACAAATGCCAAAGAATCAGGATTCCAGTGTATAAAAATGGAACTGTCTTTTGCTCTCGATTGCCCAGATTAAAATGATACGCATCTTGAAAGTGACACGTTCGTCACGTTCTTGTGTCTCCGACATCAGTCAGTGGAATCTGAAATGCTTTTTCTCGACGAAGATCTAAGACCATTTTGTGCAAGAATTATACTTGTCACATATTAACCTTTTAAATTGTTATGTCTATACTCAAATTCTCATTTGTTGCCCCTACACGTTTCCTATAATAGTAGTTCGGAGAAGTTGTTAAAGACTCTGTGTGATCGTGTCCATAATTCTCATGACCACTCCGTTTTCTAAAGCATAGGTACTACAAGGAGAACTTTCATGCTGATCAATCTTAGGGCTCAAAGGGCTAAGCTCAGTTAGACCATCACATGACAAGATCCTCATAACTTTGTTTCTGTGATAAATTTGTGAAAGTTACAACGTTAACGCCGTGACCACTTTACTAGTCATGTGTCGTTTCCCAATTTCTCAACACCATTTCCATTTTAATATTAATAATAATACTAGTAGTAGGTTTTTATGGAGCATTTAAAGAATTCTCAATGCGCTTACAATAGTAAATAAAGTTTAAGTCAAACTATATATAGTAATTATTCTTAAAAAGAAAAGTTTTCAAATGTTGCTTTAAAGTAGAAACAGATTCAGAGTTTTTGATATAATCGGGTAGACTGCTCCAGATTATCGGTGCATAATGTGAAAATGAGCGGTGTCTATAAAAGCCACGGTATTAGCAGAAGGAACTTGTAAAAGCAATCTATTTGATGAGCGGAGTAAACGAGCCGGCTGGTATTTGAGATGGAGTCAAGACAAATAGTAAGGAGCTAAATCGTTTAAAATTTTAAATGTTAAAAGTAATATTTTAAAATCAATGCGTGCGCCAATAGGAAGCCAGTTTTGTTATAGACAATTCTTTTCCGTTTTGCATTTTTCATTTTCTTTTGGCCTAAAGCAAGTCCATTAGTTTTCTTACTAAATTTCGTTTTCCAGACTTCGCAAAGACACTGACAACACTCTCAGTTCAAACTACCAACATCCTCGGAGACCCAGAATGTTCGTGGTGAAAGTTTACTGTAAGATCGAGACGAGCCCCTGGGCACTTACTCTTACCGAACCTGAATTGCCTGCTTCTGATTTTTCTGGCCAATGAGCGAAGAGAAGCTCCCGGGTGACTCTTTGTTTTTTCTTACACGACGTAGCTTTCCTCATCGATCGCCATAGTTGCGTAGAGCGTTCAACGGGGACAGTTTCTCGAGAAAAGTTTCAGAACAAAATGTTAACAACCCACAAAAATTACAACCTTAACCATGGCTACAAGAAACAAACACTCTCCGATGAATTTTTAGCTCGTCTCGATCTTACAGTAAACTTTCACCACGAACATTTTATCGACCCGACTAACTGCCCCTGGGTCTCCGAGGATGGGTGAGTAGCGGCCTTGGGAATATTTACCTCGCCGCTTTCTCGGCTCGGTAAATATTTAGCCACTACTCACCTCGATTTCAAAGAATAATTGTTAATTAGCCGATTTAACCACACTGTTATTCTTCTCGCTTTACAATACATTAGTTCGTTTATTAACGTCTTAATTTTACTTTGCGTTATTTTCCTCACTTATACATTGTCCGTGACTGTGCTCACATGGTGGGTGGCTCCTCCTAAAATGTTCTGCAATTGGTATAGGATTTAATGGAGCCGAAACCAATTGTGGAATTGCACGCATTTTAGGCATCCTACTGATGAACAGTGGCGACACGTAGATATATATTTTTTAGCAACTAAGATAATTTGCAGTCTGTCTACTTTGAATTGATTAGTTAAACGAGATGCCTATTATTCTTGACTTTGTCTACGTTGTTGTAAATAAGAGTGAAAATATTTTGCTCTCGTTTCACTGCAGAGTGATAACAGAGTTATTAGGACTCTTTCGAGCTGAGCTGACACTTTTTAAGACTTCTAAGGATGTAAGTATCTAGATGTTCATATATTTCATGCAGATCAAACTTAATAAAACATGATAATTCTTTGGTTTGAATTTTGATGGCGTCACTTGTCACATTAGTTTTAAGTTTCAATTCACATTTTTTCAGAACAGCCGTCACGGAAATTATTCGACATTAGATTCTCGTACAAACCGACTGTAATTTCCCACGCGGTTGACTTCTCGTCAATATGGCTTCCCAAACCTTGACAAGGTCTATAGGCCGATCACTACATTTCGTATGACTTTTCATTAACAAATGGTGACCCTTTCACATACTTAGTAGAACTTTCCATCCCTTTTAACTGCTATAAATGCACATAGGGCATACATTATTTCTGGTGAATGGTGTGAGTTTAAGGAAAGTATTTGGGTAATCTGAGCAGCAATCGGGTCCATTTTCATAAGGAAGAGGAAAGCTGTAATTGGAGAGGAACTCATGCGGTGGACGACCGGGTATCAATTGTGGTGTAGTCAATCCCTCGTTATACTTACGGGTTTCGCACCCTGAGATTTAAGACATTTTCCTATAAATGTGTCTTCACCCGCCTTCTCGTGGGCATCCACCCTCGTCCAGCGCTTTCTTGAATATTCTTAACGTTTCGCGTCTTTCGCGGCTGAAAACGTAGCCGGCCCCTCCATTGTTGTATCCCCAGTCCGCAATACGAAGTAAACATCCTTCCGATATAATGAGGATCCGAGGGATTTAACTTGGACGGAAAATAGCGGAGATTTTCCATGATAACGTAAGTGTCGTCATCTGCTTTCAAAAACCAATCAGCGTCGTGCATATGGTGTTGATAACTATATCTTAGTGATGCGCGGGTTTTGTTAACTAATCTGCTTTTTCCCTTCCCCAACATTTAACCCGATTGCAGGAAAGCTGGAATCCGCTTTCGAACTGAAGAACAAGAGCTCATCACAGCATTTTCCCCATGTATTTTTCTCTTTTTTGGGAGCTGGTTGGGGATGTTGGTACCCAGCATAAGATTCGAAATCGCTTAATTTCCGTTTTGTTGAATCCATTTTGATTACGATGTCTGTATGCACCTGCATTGTGTTGGCTACGTTTGTTTGTTTGTTATTTCGAGGTGTCCATACTGTATTTAAATGCAATGTCCAAGCAAGAACATAGTCATCATACCAAAAACTATAATGCAGGCAAATTGAAAAATAATAGTAAAGCAAACTTGACGCACCGTGTGTGGTCGCAATCTCCTAGCAACCATCAGAAAGTTCAACTTCTTTGAAACTTTGTTATTCGGAAATATCTTGAAAGAAAAACACGAGAAAGCAAATTAAAGCTTGTTGCCTACTTACACTGACCATGGGGTCATATTAAAAACTGCACAATTAAAACAGTCCCTTTGAGTATAGTGTGTTGAAAATTGTGACAAACATGAATAAAAAACAGAAATAAAAAGCCAATCAAATCCTCCTTCTTTTTTGGCAATCATTGAGAGCTATCCCCATGATCTTTCACACACGTTTTTAAGAAGGTTGAAACTACCACGAAGTGAAATTGCATTCAAAAGCTCTTCATTTTCGAAAGATAACGGCCAAACATTAAAATTGTCCAGGTTTAACTCTGTTTCGAACCATAAAAAATTCATCTCGAATAATGACTCGAAAACGCTGACATAGATTTTGCTCAAACTTCACGAATATTGGGGCAGGTATTGGAGGAAAATTGCTCCCGTGAGCGATTATGGTAACAAAACTCCCAGTGACGGGTGAATACGAACAGGAGCCGATTACTCGGCTCCTGATACGAATCAATGCAAGTAAATAGATAATGACGTCATAATATCCTTGTCTATGACGACTTCGATGTCAATAAATCATATCATAACAAATTTTCATCTTTGTCTGATCACCTGTGGTAATCGTGCAAAGGGGTTTTCCGTGACGCGTAATGGGTCCCAATTCAAATTATCAGCGTGATGCGTGATCGGGACCAAATTAGCCACGTGAGGCGTGATTGGGCTTAGCTGGGTGGTGCGTGATTTACTATTTTCACACCGCGTGACGAATGAGTTTCCTTTTAGACTTCCGTGATTGGTGAATATCATTTGAAACTAGAAACACAGAAACTAAAAACAGATAGTCATGACGTCATTTTCAGGTCATTTTTCTTGTTCCTCAAGCTCGCCTAATCTCCTGTCAAAATCGTACTGTGACCCCTATTCGCTGTATTCTTAGCCTTTTCCAGGCGTTCAGATATTAGAAGGCAGGCTAAAAACTGATGACGAAAAAAAATTAAACGAGGGGAGACTGGAGAGGGAAAAGGGGAGGGAACCCTCGCTCTTGCCCTAGTCTACCCTCGTTTTCCCCACGTGCGATTCAACTCGCTCCCCACATCTGAATTCCGCGCTCTACTATCTGAACGCCTGGAATCGCCTTTGTAAAACTAAGGTCATTCAATTAGGCCTTTCCCGATTGCACTCGTAAAATCCTAAAAAAGTGCTGGCAAAAATGGCTAAAAAGTGCTCAAAAAGTGCTCAAAATCTCAAAATAGTGCTCAAAAAGTGCTAAAAGTTGTGAACAGTTACCTCTAACCTTTTCGTAAATATGTCAATTTTTACTGAAGTAATTAACAATCTATTTTGCGTAGTGTTATTCGACAGGTTGTTACGAAAGGTTGATAGAATATAGAACAATAATATTTTTAAAAAACTAAAGCCGGTTACGAATTGTAAATAAATTCAGCAGTGCTAGCGTCAGAAGATTTAGAAATTTGAGATGACACACGCATGATACATCAGCCAATCAGAAACTTCTGTTTCACGCTCAGTGAGGATAAGTCCACGTGCCTTTCCATGACAACGGTCTTTTATTCTTGACAACATCATTAGTTATGACCTGGAACACGATTCTCGTTGCGAGCGACACACAGTTTTTGCTTTAAAATGTTTTAGAAGACATATGTTGCTTGAAATTTGCTCGAAATGTGAAATATTGCTCAAATGTTGCCCAAAGTGCGAAAAAGTGCTTAAGGGTGCTCAAAATGCAAAATAGTGCTCCAAACTCAAAAAAGTGCTCCAAAGGTGCTCAGCGCAATCGGGAAAGGCCTACATTCAATTAACTGTCAACACCTGATCCTACCAAAAAATGACGCTGAAAACTATTTACTGGACCTGATTCATTCAGCGGGTGAGATATTGCCTTGTTAACTTAGTGCAAGTGAACCTCATTCACGCGCACTTTTACGCTCTTTTTTCGAATTTAAAGATTGTTGTTGTTGTCGTTTGTTTGTTGTTGATTAAGAGGGAATCAACAGTTTTGTATACAGATTAAGGATGGCAACCACAAGGAGGGTGTAAGGGCATTTTTGTGATGGTTATCAGTCCGGCAAAGATTAAGATTATAAAACTTTTTTTGTTCCCACGGATTGAGTTAGTCATACTACTCTCCTAGCTGATGGTCGACTAACTCCTGGGTGAAGTTTGACCAGCGTGTTCACGGGATTCGCGGTTGGGGTACCGTGGGCGTAGACTCTTGGCGGACAGCAGTTCCTTTATTTTCGGGGAAAACTAAAAATGTGAGTGAAGCATTGCTATTTTTCTTGTTCCGTTGAATATCAATCGAAATGACTGGTCTAGAAGACTTTAAAAGACCTTTGAATTAACGTGAGAAGGTTTCATCGGATCGCACGCAAAACTTTGTGATCTGAATGAATGCTTGGATGGCTTGCCACCCAGCGAGCCGCTGCTAAGTGGTATCCTAGCACGTGACCAAGTTCTGCAAAGGACTAATCGTGCTCAATTGTATGACAGTAATGGCGTTATGTAAGATATTTTAGTCCTTTTATAATCAATATATTTAGTTGTTCAATGATTTACTATTAGTGAAGAGGACTCCACGGATAAATAAACTTTTTGTTGTTGTTGTTTGTCTGAAACTGTATATCCTGTTTAAGACTATGTGCATACATATATATAAACAGCAACTTCCAGGGTCGTCACAAGTGTTGACACACATCAGACATCGTGCCGGCGCGGATGGTCGAGAGGATTTGATGCACTAAATCCCAGTCCTCACTCCTGAATTCGAACTTCGAAAAGTCACTCGTTAGGTGAAGGCGTTTTCCTCACCGTCGCCGTCATGGTATCAAATATTTTACCAAATATTTTATACTCTTTGTAACATGACGAATATTATAGATCTCCTGACATCTTTCTCAACATTTATTTTTCATTTCATATTCGTTAGAATAAAAACTATACAAACACTTCATTAAATATGCTCTCCACTCTTAGATACCTAACCTTACGCCTGCTTTTCACAAAGCAGCCGTAAAAGGCTGATAACAACCGGTTTTTGAATCGATTTGCAGAACAATAATATTTGACGGTAAATCATGATCAAATTTTGAACGTTCTTGACAATAACAAAATAATATCTAACATCTTGGCTTCTTCACATAAAGTTTTTTTCATATATATTTGTAAATATAGAGTCTATGTAAAAACCTGAAATTCTCGTAAGTAGTATCTACTTTCTCATTCTATAAATATTTTGTAACAAAACTGAAGCAAAAATATTCTGGCAGACTTAGCCTACGAGCGAGCTCCCAGGGGCGCTCTGGTGGCGGGCGGGAAAAGGAAGGAGAGCGTGCAACTACGTCTCTCGAATTTGAATATCTGCATCGAAAGAGTCGATGCGAAATGCTGATTGGTGGATATGACATAAGTAATGACGTCAATACCCTTAACACGTGCTGTCATGTGTTTTTCAATGTTTGTTTACATTCCCGCTCGTTTCCGCTTCGCGCTGATTGGCGGAAATCTGACAGCACAGTCGACAGGGATTCCAGATACGTCGTTGCAAGCTCTCCTTCTTTTTCGCACCCCGCCGAGCTCGCTCGCAGGCTTGGCAGACTAGTCTTTATTGGTCAAATTTTTCAGCAGGTCGCAATTTCGTCTGGTACTGTCGTGTAAACGTAACCTTCGTACAACTTTTACAAGTGTATTTTGAGTGTCAGTAAAACGCGGGGTCGGCACCGGGCCCAGGGTCAGGGTCTCTAACCCTAACCCTAATCCCCGACCCCGCGTTTTACTGACACCCAAAATACACTTGTAAAAGTTGTACTAAGGTTACGTTTTATTAAATTGACCTCAGATGCTTTGATTTTTGAATATAGAGTGCTTTCCACTTGTATAAAAAACTAGTGAGAAATTCCCACAAATGAAACAGTACCACTCTTTTCTAGTACACCGGTACTGTAAACATGGCTGCCCTCCTTTCAGTCTGGAACGTTTAAAATTGTTACTACTCTGAAGAAAGCAAATGGTCCTGTGATTTTTCGTTATTAGGGTAAAAAAGAAGGAAAAAAACGAGGAAAGTGTAATACCTCTGGTGTTTCTTGCTTTACTTTTTAAGACCACTCCAACTAAAATGACCGTTCCTTTTTTACAAATAAAAAGCGCTCTATAATCTTGGAAAACAGAAGAAGAATTGAGACGCATTATTGCTACAGACTTGACCCGATGCTGTTACTGTTTTCAATTTCTCTTGGGACCAATAATCGTCCCTTGAGAAAATGAAAAGACAACCTATGCAAGATTTTGTGGGAAAAACAAATTGCATTTTGGGGTACATGAAAGTCGAAGATACGCGGTAGTTTTCAGTAGCCATGCCTCAAACACTGTCATTCCATGGAATTAGAGGGAATTGTACTTAACAAAGCATGGTCCGGTTACGCAAGCCAAACGTCTTAAACTTATTCATCTGTTATTCATTAAGCAAAACTTATTCAACTGTCTAGCACCTAAGCAGTGCAGAATCTACTGCAAAGACGAATGTCACACGCTCCATCGTGTTCGCAAAAATAGTTTTAGAAATACTGCAATAATTTTTCTTTCACTCGGTATTCAACACATGTTAGCAGCCTCAAACCCAAGAAAAAAGTCGAGACCCAACCGCGTCGCGTCAGTAACGAAGTCACGAACTGTCCTTTTTGATGGAAAAGTGGGTTTAATTTATCATGACCTAGGGGTCGGCGAAATTGTAGGAGTTGTGGGTAGGTGATCTGGAGAAGCCCGGTAAAGGGGTTATTATATATTTTTTTGGAAGCCCCAATGGGTTGAATAAATTATGAGTGAAATCAAAGGGTCAGGCGGTAAATTTTCGCAACTACCCCTACCTGGCACATAATAAATGAAAACCCCCTTAACTGTTTGGCTCGAACACTGCAGAATGAAGTCACATACTTCGTTATTATCGCCACATTACGTCAGGGATGAATCCAATCCTATCCCACCAAAAAGAAGCCGGATTGTTCCTTTGTTTCCGTTGTGAATTTAGTACGCATGCGCTTCATACTATACAGCCGCTGTCTCCGCCGCTGCCCACCCGAGTCATCATGAGCATTTGCTCGAGTTCACAAATCCTGGCGTACAAAACACGCTGCTCGTCTTCAGCCTTTGCTCGCCACCACTTTTCCACCTCTTGGATCTGTCTCTGGTGTTGAACCTGTTGAAACAAAAATTAGTTCCAAGAGTGTTTAACAGTCGTATTCAGGACTACGATCAGCCGGACGAGTATGCTAAACCTACTTAAGAAATGACTCCTGGGTTCAAACCTTTCACAAAAACTACAACATTATCCACGTAAACGTTAAGTCAATATTAATGCTTTTTATTTACTAAAACAGTGGTTGGTAATTAATCATACGGTAGTTCCATTGTATCGGTACTGTATTGTTCCATGTATTGGCAGTCTCCTCCGCAGAGGCTCCCATGGGTATCCCAGTAAAAATAGTAGTAAGCGTGGTGAGGACGATGGGAAGAGAGAAAAGCTTTCCCCATCCCATTATCCCCTGCGCGCTTTTGTTTTTTCCCTCTCCCCAGCCTCCCTGCGACAAAAAGAGGCTTCTGCGGAGGAGAGAGATGTATCGTTCTGCATATTCATAACAAAAGGTAATCATATCATCGTCAAGTTCATCGTCGTCAATGATTAGCAGATCGTCGCATTCTCTAATCTAAACCAGTACTCTGCAAAACTCATTTGTTGCCAAAAAGGGTCACAGGCTAAACACAGGCCTCACACAGGCTAAAATTGACGTCGAGACTCATTCCGTCTACTGCAGCTATGTGAACATCAACTTGCTCTTATCCGAAGGTTTACTTTCGCCTTCAGACATGCAACAGTTTATTCAGCGTACAGTTTCCTGTAAAGTGTCCGTATTAGCAAAGTTAACTTTCTATGTTAATCCGTAAATCGGCCAAAAAAGTGTCCGTTGTCAAACTAGGCCATTTTCGGTTCGAAAAACTCTCACTTTCAAAACGAAACTAAGTGCAAAACCTTTCTCGTGATAATGTATGAGAATAAAATTCATTTTGAATATCAACGGCTTCGCACTTAGCCTCGCTTTAAAACAGAGGTTAACAGGTGTCTGTATTAATCCATCAAGTAAACAATAAGCGGGTTAAATTTAAAGAAAATGCAAGAGCTTTCCCCTAACGCACAGAAAAACCTGTCTGTGGCAATAAAGCGGGGCTCGATACTGAAGGAGCTGTGAAATAACCGAAAAGAAATTGAAAACCGTGATCAATTGAGGTTTTTGGGTAAGTGACCACCTACCCCTCCCCTACGTCACAATTTTGCCCTAACTGAGAAGTAAGCGTTACTGTTGACTTAGGGGAGGGGTAGCTGGTTCCGAAAACCGTACCTGCGCGGCGGCATAAGTGTCCTTCACATTGTAAACGCTCTCTTCCACTACCGGCTGAGCCTCCAGTATTGTTTCCGGTACTTTAAGGACTTCTTCCTCAGACACAGGACGAGCTTCTATGACTGTTTCCATTGAGCCTGTATCACTTGCGAGGGCGTGAGAACTAACGCGAGAACTGACGAGGGAATCAGTTCCACTTGTCAATGAACGGCTAACACTAAGCGGGGTGTTTAGAGCTGCCCAGAAAAATAAAACACAATTATTATCTAAAATAGAAATAGAAATTGTAATGACGGTGCGAAACATCACTGTCATAAGCATCAATGCCCATAAGGTAAGGATCGTCTTCCACGCCTTTTCGTCAACTGGTCTTGATAAACGCTAACCAAAAATAAAAAAGCCGGGAATATAGCTGACCTGAGATCACGTTTTCTTTTTCCCTGTTCAAAGAAGCCGGAACGCTTGATCACATGTTTTGATCGGGATATTACACTATTACATGGGCGCCGCGGTTAAAACGTAACAAATGTTATATGATAAAAGGAAAACCCTCTAATATGGTACGCTTTGGCTTATAATTGGTCAGCCCTCAAATCCCTCAAATACTAGTCATAATTTCTCTCCAAAATATCACTGCTTGAATAAACATGAAGGTCATGAGAATAGAGAAAATGAGCAGACAGAGAGAGAGAGAGGATAGCCCGTTCACAGACCCTCTATTTTCTCTTCAAAGTCCGTCGAGCGCGTGTGATCAAAAATAGAACGAAAAGAAAAATAAAACAACGTCTGTGTACAGGCTAGAGAGAGGAAGTCTGTCTCCCCTTTTCGCTACTCTCTCCTCCCTTCTCCCCTACCATCCCCCCCAGGGAAAGCCTGATACTCGGGCTATTCTGGAGCAGAATGTGCGAGCAAACGAATAACAAAATTTGTGGGTGCGTCTATCTCCGCAACTCATCACTCAAAGATATTCCGATCCCAACAATCTAGCCCTTCTTTGCATAGGAAATCAGATCAGAGAAGCGTCTAGTATCTGAACCAATTACAAATAACTACTACATACGAGAAACTCCCATTCTCTGATCCACGACGCTTGCGCAGTCTGCACAAGGCGCCCTTCCCAGGTGGGGAGAACTTCTACTCCGCACTGCACGCCGGGAAGCAGTACAGTTCCGTCCCAACTCAGGGTTGCACCGGTCTTTAAAGTCCATGAACGGTATATTATATCCTGTGGATATTTGTCCAAGTCTAAGCTCGAGCTTGCTCAAGCCACCTTTAATAAGTCCGCGGATTTCTTCTTTCACGTCTCCAGTGGAGTCTTTCACGCTTTTGTTTACTGCGCGGCACTCATCAGTGACGCGATCAACCACGCGATCGTACTCTTTTTCCCTAATTTCTTTGTCCCTTGACTGTCTCTCGTCCGACCGCTGATGCTCCAGCTTCTTTTCCAGTCTCTGAAGTCTGTGTTCCAGTCTGCGGCGAGCAGATTCGATTTCTGCCGTGCAACGTTCCTGCCAAGCCTCCAGTCGGCTGAGAGACGCTTTGCAGGTGCTGCAGTGATCGGGGTTACAAGGAATGGATCGCAATTCCTCCTTAAAGCAAAAATACATTTTTCAATTAATACCACAGGTGAAAAAATTACCTCTTGATTTTGGCGCGAAATTTCAGCGTTAATTTATAATTTGACATGTCAGTGAAATGACAAAATTGCTATGGCAACGTTCTGTTTGACTAAGTGCCAAGATGAGGTCAAGGTTTTAAAATTGCCAGGGCTTCAAAAGACGCTTTAGAAAACCTGAACGTCCGAAAAAGCATATCAAGAATGATTCTAACAGGTATTTTTGTTGAAAATTTCAGAAAAATGTGAGCTTAGGTCAAAATTTATGCCCTTAACTTTTCACCCGCAGTATGTGGAGTCCTCAATACGATAGACAAGGTCAAAAAACCTACGATTGTGAGCGTAATTCGTCATCCATGATATTAATAGGTAATCAAATGGTTTACTCGTGAAATTAGGGAATAATTTCACTTGCGTTTTCTCCAAATTCTAATTATTTCCTCACTTACTTATCTTACCTTACTTATCACCAATGTATTTTTATTTGAGTTTAAAGGGTGTTGGAGAAGGAGGAGCAGCAGCAGCAACAGTAGCAGCAGAAGCAGTAGTAGTGATAGTGGTAGTGATGGTGGTGGTGGTGGTGGTGGTGGTGGTAGTGGTAGTGGTAGTGGTAGTGGTAGTGGTAGTGGTAGTGGTAGTGGTAGTGGTAGTGGTAGTGGTAGTGGTAGTGGTAGTAGTAGTAGCAGCAGCAGCAGCAGCAGTAGCAGTACGAGTACTAGTAGTAGTAGTAATAGTACAACTTTGGTTTTCTCTCTTGACACGAACTAGGATAAACTACTACCATTCGCCACTTTAGAAACGTGAAGGGAACTGGGGCCGAAATGCGCCCCGCAATTGTTTCTGGGATCGTTACTGGGGAAGCGCCAATCAGCTATTGGCCAACTTTCCTCCAGTAACAGTCCCAGAAGTCTTTGCGAAAGTTCACTCGGCCCAGTTTCCTTGTCTGTCTAAAGTGGCAGATTGGCGAAAAGCACGTCATTGCTTGAACGAATAAGTCAGTCAATCAAAAGAGGGACATAAGAACTAAAATTTGCCACGCTGCCTTCCAAGTTCTCACATGCGACATTAGATGGAAATGACCATTAACCAGTGTATTTAACGCCCAAAGCATTCTCCTCCCCAGACCAGCGCCAAGGATCGACAGCTCTGGCTAAGGCCAAAGCAGGAAGTCCGCAAAACACGGACTTTTGGCTTTCTGCGCAGCCTCAGAAATTTGAAATAGTAGCCGTTACCGACGGTTACAAAAATGAGAACTACTGCGCTTGTACGCATGCGTTATCCTGGTCCCAGCAGGAGCTCTTGATCCTTGGCGCCGACACAAGGATAAAGGCTTCAGGGAGGAGAATACATCCAGAGCTTCCCGTGACTGAGCAGCCGTTATTTAGCAGTAGCTCAACAGCTGTGGCGTGAGGTGACATCAGTGGCGACCAAAATATATCTACCGTGCGATGGTACAACGGAAAGGATGCTTGTAGCTGCTTACCTCCTCATTTCTTCTTTTGTGATGTTTATCATAGTGTCTTTCATGGTGTTTACTAGGATGCTTCTCCTTTTTGGGTTTATCTTTCTCTTTTCCTCGATCATGATGATGTCTCTTTCTCTTGTACTCCTTATCTTCATCAGTTGATCGTTGATCACTATACTTTATATTCGGGTTATCGTATTCTTTAACTCGTTTATGTTCAGACTTAGAACGGACGTGTTCTTTGTCTCTATGTCTTGATTCTTTAGAATGAGACTTCTCCCGAGATTTTCTTAATTTCTCCTGGCAGACACTGCAATCGGCTTCACTTCCTTCCTTTTCATCGCGTCGAGAATGCTTCTTCTCCTTGTCCCTTCCTTTTCCCTTTTCCTTTTCACTCTTTCTCTCCTTCTTTTCCCATTTATCCTTGTCATCTCTTTCTTTCTTACTTGACTTATCTCTCTTCTCTGTTCTATGCTCGCCCCTTTCCCTTTCCTTTCTTTCCCTTCTATTCTCTTTCGTTTCTTCGATTTCCCCCTTTTCGTTAAACGCCTCCTCTGGTATTCTATGGTGCACCCCATTTCCCATGAGCTGTTTGGAATTAGGAAATTTCTCCTTATGCTTTTTTCCAACTACGGTTCCGTTTTTCATCTCACTAGTCAAGTCTGGGTCACTTGAACTTCTAAAAATTGCGAATAAGCCTTTGTCTTTCTTGTTTTTCTTGGGGGCAAGAGCAATCTCCAAATCATCTCTGCTTTGAGCACTGAGGACAAACAACAACAATTTATTACCTTCAGCACGGACTTTTACTTCAATAGATTAACATGACTGCCACAAAAAAGAGGTTTCTGAACTTCCCTGACTTTTCCCTGACGAATGTGAAATTTCCCTGACCAAATGAATTAACAGTTTCACAAATTTGTCCTGATAATGGACTCAACTGTTTCCTAATGGCCATGCATCCTCTCCACCCATATATTTATGCTTTCAGCAAGTCATGTTCAGTGTACATGAATTCAGTTGATAGTTCCTTAATATAACATACAAAAAGGATTGAATTCCTTGAAAACTCTACATCAGCTCGTAAAATGTACAAAAGAATTTTAAATGTTAGAAAACAATAAAACTTGAGAGAAAAGAATAAATATGTACTCTTGTAATTTCACTTTTCCCTGACTCCTTTCAAAGACTTAAATTTTCCCTGACTCGAAGTAAAATTCTCTGATCTTGAAGAAATTTTTTCCCTGACCATTCCTTGACATGTGGCAACCATGAATTCAACTAGCAAAGAGACGTTATAATTAACAAAGAGACGTTACAAATCAACTTGGAGCCTTTTACTGCAATAGGGATTTTTATGACCGAAAACGCTTTTAAGATTGTCATAAAAAAGTTTGAAAAGTTTTCAGGGAGCTGGTTAGCCTCTGCCTTGCTATAATGACAACGAGATCACTTCTTAGTCTACATAATAACTTAACCTTGATTTATTCCGTGGACAGCGCTTTACACGTTTGAACAACCGAAGACTCGACTCACCCACTCACGTCAAGTTGTACAAAACCACAACCGCTACATCACGAGCGTGCACACTGCGAATCACGTACTATATTCAGACAACATCCGCTAAATCATTACCTTCGATCTTCACAGACGGGAAGATCGAAGGTTCTCCGCTCGCAAGGTTCTCATGCAGTAAGGCCCTGTCAACACGTATCCTGGGATTTTTTGAAAACGGAGATTTTTTCTGTTTTCAAAAAATACGCATTTAGACGTAGGGTATTTGAATCGCTTTCGTCCGTCCACATGAAAACGCAAAAACGCTGAAAAAACGATAACATCCCTTACAGAGCATGCGTAATTCTTATGGCATATAACGTATGAAATCCACGGTTTCGAAAACCTCCGTTTTCGTCCGTCCACACGTACACGACAAGCCGGCGTCATCACCATCGTGGATCTCTTAACAATCAAGCTTATTAAAATATTCACTATGAAAATAGCAATTATGTCAACGAGACTTCAAGTCAAGTGATGAGATAAAGAAATGTCTAGTCCTTTATCAACCATTACTCATAAACTGAATGCAATTACATTTGTTTATTTAAAACGTTTTATCAAGACCACGTTCAATATTCTCAATGACGCAGAAACACTGCCTCCGTTTTATAAATAGCAACATTTTCTCTTAGAGAAAGAGATTCCAAGATTACGCTAGAAGCGTGAAACAATTAAGACAGACATATAGTCCAAATTTTTGAGTAAGAAGTTTTCAGCGATACAGATCTTCAAATAACGCAAATTTTGCTGTCAAGATCACTGCACTAACTTACGAGCAACGTGTTCAAGAGTGCGTTAAGAGCATTCATGGTTTAAAAGCATTTCAAGTGACTCTTAAAGTATTCGTAGTTATCTAAATGACAAAAAAAACAACGTAACTTTCTAAAAATATGAAAACAATAATCGCAAAAAAACAAACATATACAGAAAACCTGGTTTAGTTTGGTTGAAATCCCGCTTTTTTTCCTTGGACCGTACGCGCGCAACACTGAATTAATCAAAATTCTTCTCAAATACAATCAAGAGAGGATACACTGTAACTCATAAAATTCTGATGTAAATCGAGTTCTCGCAAAGTTCCTCGTTCATCGAATGGTTTAAATGAAACGAAACATATACAAGCCGTTCACTAAAAACTAACAAGAAAATGAAAAAAATTTTTAACGAATTCTATTTTTGTTTTTCCATCAGCATAGTTGTTGTCATAGAGCACTCTGTTAGACATCTGAAGCGATATCGCATAAATATGCCACTCTTCTCAGTTAGAGTTCAAATAACGGCAAACGTACGGTTTGGATTTAGAAAAAGCCCATAATCAGCAAATAAGACTACAGACACGTATTTTAACTTTACATTTCATTCTTGGCACCTCGTTACATGCGAGTACACAGACAATAATATACTTATAATCGAATCCTACTTGAAGAAAATCTCACCAAAAGGATACGTACGAACACTTGTATAATTTACACGCTTCTAAAATATACACACCTTTGCAACAGAGAAACTTATTAATAACGAAACGGTAAAATACAGTTGTAAAGAAAGAAGTATTATTTTTAATCCTTCGCCGGATGTGTTCGCCTAAATGAAACGAAGCGGCATGTCTGTTTCTTCACTATCGGTTTTAAAGCCGTTTAAGCACACGAAGTTGCGAAATATCGGTTTAGAACACAGATGACAAGTAAGCCGTAACAAAAAGAGGAAATAATTCAGAAAAAAAAAGACGGACAGAGCGAAGGTTGATAGTAAACATATAAACATCTCACTCTTTTCGCCAAAGGGGGCAAATAAGGCCTTACAGACCTCCTCTAAAACATGCCAACACAGACAGTCTCGCACACGAAAACTTTCAGTGGTAAAACTACACGAAAGAACTTGAATTCAGGGATAAAACATCGATTATAAGCGATAAAAAATTCAGACACCAGAGGTCAAAAGGGGGTAAGTAAACCACATCGTTGTTAGATGACTAACTGTTTATACTGACCTGCTCATAGTGCAGACCCATGGATTCACAGCCTTTCTCGACATTCCGAAGACGTCGATTATCAAATTCCGTACTAAGAAAAGCTTGACTGTCGTTAAGATAACGTTGCATAGGCTTTCTGTTATAAGATAAACTACTTCGCGCGCGCCAATGAAGCATTGACGCGAGGGTTATCTGTGTAGTATAGCTTCTCGTGCGAATGCAAATTTGGCCTGTTCATAGTCCATAGAACAATTACAATACATTACACAAAGGACCGCCCATAAAGCTCTTAGCAAATATACTCACAAAAGCTTTCAGGCTATACTCTAACTGCAAGCTGAATAACATGAAAATGGGGCTCTCCAGCTGACTAAAACAGCCCTAAATACTTTGGCTCGGACAGGCTCTTTTTCTTTCCAATGGCTGTCCAAAATTATAATTCAAGTAACATCTCATTTTTTGGTGAAAAAAGGAAAAGCAAACAGTGGGATAGGAAAGTGCTATTCCAACACTCTGAAGGATTTCATCCACCATGCAACTCGACAGTCATTGTAGTGGACGAATGTTATACGACTCAGGTTTTCCAAGGTGCCAGCTTCTTTAATGGGAAAACTAAATTCACATGGTTACATGTCTGAACGTGTTGTCAGTGTCAGTGGTTTTGGTAAAACAAAGCTAGCAAAAAGCATTTTTGAGGGATTTAATTCAATTCAGTTCCATTTAATTTGATGAAACCACAAGATTGTCTATGGTTCATAGATCCTACAATTATGTAACCTTGAGGGACTTTTGTTTGTGGCAGTCGAGAAAAGGAAAAAACAAAGCTCTTGAATTGACAGGAACTCCAATAAGAATTTGCATTTAGGAAAACAAAAGGTGTGCTTTCACAAATGATTTCACAGCATATTAAAATCGGAAGCGATTAAAAATCATTCATGAACGCGTTGAAAAGTTAATCTCTTGTAAATTGTAGAGCAAATACTTCACGCCTTCAAAAATGACTTTGTCGCGTAGTATCACGCTACGAGGCATTACTGCTAATTAATCAGTCGCTCAAGTTGTTTTATATTTTGGTGAAATCGATTTATTCTACTATGGTTTGCTAGCGTTCTTCTTCAAAAGCCGACCCCTATGGCATACTGCGGTATCTTCAAAGATCTTAATCACACTTACAAACAAGTTTTTTAAGCGATATCGATCAAGTAATAACTATTCATTTCCTGTCCCTTCATACACCCATTGTTTTCGGCATCACCGATACGGTGGAGGTATGTTTTTTACCGAGTGGAATACAAACTGAAAATACCAGTTAACTTCGTTCAGTGCAACACAAGAAAGGTAGGGACTGGATTATATGAGTCAATGAAAAAATCACGAGCACGTGGAGGTATAGAACGACCAATCTAAACTGAGATTAACAACTGCTGGATGAATCTTCATCTTGTGTTTACATGTTGCCATTTTAATGATTTGGAGAAAAAACTTGGTGAAGTACAAGAGAAAGTCGCCTCAAGCTTTGCAAAACAGCACAACGAAAGTTATCCACAACGTTTGACAACATTAAATGAAATATTTATGTCAAGGCATTCTATTCCAAGTTTTCCCGCTGTGCTTCTTGGTCATTCGGAAGCAGGAAGCAGACCACACACGTCTGAAGTTGGTTCACCACACGGGAGGCCTGGGGGGAGTTAACATTTTCACGTACAGTTAAACCTCGATATAACGAAGGACCAAGGGACTGGCAAAATTTGTTCGCTGTATCGAGGTTTCGTTACATCGAGGTTCTCTTTCATATATTTTACTGTTACTGGGGTCAAGAAAATAGTTCGTTATATCGACAACTTCGTTATATAGAGGTTCGTTATATCGAGGTTCCACTGTAGTCGATCTCGTTGTTCAGCACAGTAATCCGAAGACAGGGAAAATTAATGCGATGACGAGACAATGGTTCGTGCTGGTTTTTTGGTAATAAAATTTAAGGAATATTTCAGGAGTATCCATTCCAAGCACCAACAACTGAGTTTCCAAGGAGAGTTCAAACTACAGCAAGTTTGTCCACATTTTATTTACTGTAGTTTCAGAAAAAGTCTTCGATTTTCAAATTTGCGCTCAATCACTGAAATAACTGAGTTTGATCAGATATAATCGGCCTTTTTGTCAAAGCATAGCGCTATGTATTTTTAAAAGCCTCTACCTCAGCAACTATCCAGAACCTAATTTTTTCCTTGCCTAGTCCCTCTACGGTGTCCTCCCAGGCCTTCCCGTTCAATGCATTTCGGTGACGTAGCCAAGACGAACGACAGCTCGGACCACGTGACCCGAAACGCATACGCCGCGCAGAATAATACTTCTTTAACGGGCTACCACATCGTATGGCCAACATTCTTTAACTCATTCAGCAGCCGCAACATATTGGAAATTCCTGACCAATAATTTAAGGGCAATTGTAGATTTTTAAGGAATTTAGACAACAGCTATTATCACACATTTTTAAACTCGATGATGATGCGTCACTTTTAACAGCCTTTAATGGTCTTACTTTATTCAATGTTCCTCAATTGATTGTGCTCGGAGATAATAAACTCAGCAGCATCCCTAAAATTCGACTTAAAATAAAGCTTTTATCTACTATGTATGCCACTTTTGCTAAGCTTAATAGTTGTGGCGGACTGAATTACCGTCAAGTGATTACCGTAAACTAGTGATTATAAGCCCTGGGCTTATACATCTTCGTAAGGGCTTACAAGGGCTCAGAAGAGGAGGAACTTACAACCGGAATACTATGAAAAAAACACTTCGAAACAAGCTATAGCAGCCGTGCTGATTAAAAAAACGTTTTGCATTCACTCGCTTCAAACAAAGCTACAAAAACGTCATATAATAAATCGAATTCAAGAAAAGACAAGCTCTAGGGGGTGGGGCTAATAATCGGATGCACTTTTTTGTTTACCGGCAGATGGGCCAATAACTGGGGCGTTATAAAGCTACGTACAAACGACTCCGAACATTGTTGGCATTTTTGGCCCAACAATGTTGGGGGTTGTTACGTCCGTTTGCACGTAGCTAAAACTTTGACCGGGTTCAAACTTTGCGCAGCAACTCCTCCCAACAACAAGCAACAATATGCAACAGGGTGTGCAAACGGACGCAACATGTAACATCTAATAATGTCGGGAGTTGTTGACCAACAATCGGGGGTTTAAGCAACGACGACGGCGACGTCAACGAGGACGGCAAAAAAGCAGGTGGCTTAGATTGGCAAAACAACAACTTTGCATGAGCGTCACGCTTTTTTGTACATTTCTGTGCAGTCACAGCACGCCAACGATGTGAAAATGCCTAATTTCACGTTCTGTGGCGCACGTGAACAAAAGACATCGACTTTGCTTTTCTTTTCCTTAACTTTGATACAGACCTTTAGAATTCAACCCCAGAAAAATTGCCAACATTTGACGAATTCAACGAGATGGAATGAGCGCCATTAAGTCTGAAGCAGCCCGATATCACCTTTTAACTGACGTTTTCGTAGCCGTCCCCGTCGTTGTTGCTTGAGCTCGCTAATGTTGCGTCCGTTTGTACGGGGCTTAAGAGGCAGCTTCTGGTAGTCTACAAAAACTACTCCGCTTTTATTGAAACGCAGAAAGATTTCCTGCAATATAAAGGAGTTCCTTGATGTTTTTTTTTTCATTGGTCATCAAAAGATACAAACGGAAATCGAATGTTTAGAACAACAGTTTTCTGATCCGCAAACTTTTTTATCCTTTAATTTACCTTAGTGTTTTCTTTTTACTTTCTCTGACATGACGTGTATGAGGACTCTTCGATTCCACATAAAAGCCAGGATCAGAACGGCGCATTTCGTCCTGAAAGGAAGAAAGTAAAAGTAGGAGATATGCTGCGAATTGCTAAACATTGTTCTCACTGTTTTAATAGACAAATTCTGACTACCTGTGACTTCAGAGTGCTTCTGGAATGGCTCTTATCACTCTTGTAAGATCGTCTCAGTGTTGACTGTTTTTTCTTCAGAAAAGCGCTGTATTCTCTCTCAATCGAACACATCTCATTTGGCTTGATGGTCAGCACCTTGTATTGTAATTTCCCTTCACCTTTCTTTTTTCCCCGACCTTCAAACTGGCTGTCAGCTTCTCGTTTCGGCGGCAATTTCTAAAACAGGACATGGTAACGTTGATGTAAGTTTGTACAGCTCCACGTTGGCCAAAGCGAAAAATACCATAATATTCTTGAAGTTCCCGTTTGGGTAGTGCTTCACATAAATTTGACTTTTGCAATATCTTTTGCACGATTTGCATGTGGAATACCAGCTTCCTGTAAATTTCAGGGGCACCCAACGACAATTTTCGGAAAATATCTGTTCGGAAGACGATTTGAGATCTAGAATTTTCGGAACATTTTTTCCAAAATTTCTTGCTTGTCTTCCTCTCCTAGGATTTTCGAACATCTAAAAAATGGTATAATTGCCCATTTTTAACCGATTTTTACCCTAAAAGGGTCACCTACAATTTTCGAGAGCCTTTTTTCTGGCTGAAATTTTCGAAAAGGTAAGTTTTGATCCCTATAATTTTCGAATCACTAGACTTTCAGCTGGGAAATCCGAACAGATGAAAAATTTTAGGGGATAAAAATATGCCTATATCTACCGTTTTAATACTAAAATACGTTTAACAATGCTATGTTTAAGGGATTTTGAACTATATTCTCGTTGGGTGCCCCTGAAATTTGCATACACTGTACGTGCAGTTCATGCAAAGAAAAAAGTTATAGGTTTACATAAAGCACTAAACAGACGGCAGTTTAAAGAATATTATGGTTTTTCCGCTTCGCCAATAAAATTTAATTATGCAAGAGCGACAGCGAGGCAACCCATCCGGTTAACGCTTAACCTTTTCCTAAAATTAAGAGGGAAAGTTTTCACCCCCTTCAGAGGCTAGGGGAGTGAACGGACGGCTAAATGCAGACTGGATGGGATGGGATGTTACATGGTAATTATGATGGATTGGATGGGATACTACTACTACTTCAAATGATAGCGAACATGATCTTAGTAGTAGAATGGACACCCTAAACGGTTAAAAAAGAACCTGAAAAAATTTCAGGATTGACCGGGAATCGATCCCTGACCTTTTCCAATGACCGGACGCAACGTTCTATCCATTAAGCTAATCAAGCCAACTAGAGAGCAAGCCATTGTGAGTTCCTAATATATCCGATGGTGGAAATGACATGGAATAAAATATATAATTCCTTTCATATATTTCAATTCACTATTACTTCACTTTGATCATGATATCCCAAGATTATAATGAATAAATTGTTTTAATTTACAAATGAAGAGAGGCTGAAGCTACAGTTACGTGAAAGCATACTTACTTGGGGGGTGGGGGTGGGGATCGAGGTCAATTAACCTTCTGTTTACTCACCTTGGGGTCATGGTCCAGGGACATTGGTTTGGGTATCCATAACTGAGTTGCAGTTGTAGCTTGTGTGGAGTCTAAAGACTCAACATACATACTGGACACCTCAGCACTACGAGGCCTCTCCTTTCTTCCCTTTCTGAAAAACTACCAAACGAGACCTATATGAATATGATTTAGTTTCAGCGTAGCGAGCTACGTACACCGTCACACTAGTGACGGATTATATATGTCTGAGACGGATAATCCATCTTCAAAATCGGTCAGAATCGACGGAAAAACAGGTGGATAAAGTCTGGCGGATTGTCCCTCCAAAATTATCAAATCATGACGTATTATCTGTCTGACGCGAATTATCCAACGGACAACCCGTCCCAGACGGACCGTCTCTGGTGTGAATACGACCAATATCAGCACAGATGGTTCTAAAGCTCTACAAATTTACATATTGTAATGGCACCATCAATAACCCTCAGATGCTGCGTCCTTGTTAAGGCAAGCTTGAAAAAAAGGAAGCATCCTCTGAGAAAAGCAGCTTTTAAAAGACGTAAATAATAAACTTAGTTAGACTTCACCACAAAGCAGAATGTTGACGACCGCAAGTAATCTTGAACTAAACCCAACATCTTGAGAATCCTAAGTGCGCTTCTACGTTGGCGTTGGGCGCCCTGTGTGTGTCAGTCTAATCCGCGTTATGAATGGTTCTCTGCTCATGCGCGTTGAAGTGAAAGGCTCGCTATAGTAATGGCCGACACTGGTACATGTACTGTGTTAACAACTCAAGACATTTGCAAGGTTTAGTAGGTTATGCAGCTTACCTTCCATGATTCACCACTGGCTGGAGTTAACAACTTTGCAGTCTTTTTAAAACCATTCTGTATGGCTATATCCGTAGCAGTGTCGCCAATCTAGTAGAAACATAAAAAAATATACTTGGTTAGTCAGGGCTGTCAAAAAGTATTTAAGTAGCAGTCTGATAATGAATAGTAGGCGGCTTTGGAGCTCGCACCAAAGGCACAAGTTCTTGAGGGCCGAGGCATCTAGGGACGTTTTGAAAATTAGAGTCTCGGTAATGGCGTTTCCAAGGGTTTTCAAGAGGTGTTTCCGACCGCGGATGCCATGTTGTTTTGTTAGAATACATGCAAACCTGGGAACAATGCCGTCAACATGTCCCTGGCATTAAGATGCGTCATAAGACTGCAAATATGCTTATAACATGAAAATTTCACGACATGTTAATTCTCGAATTTCGCATTTTAAAAAAATCGCGAAATTATAATTTAAAGTGACAAGAACAATAAGTGTTGCGAACATAGCATGGCGCTAAAAAAAATTAAGTGACTCAGAATATGTCCATAATCAAAGACAGGATGAATTTATTACTAAGATCAAGATATTTACACAAATAACGAAATAAAAGTCAGGAGCGTAACGTGAGATTTTGAAGGTGTACGCACGCGAGGAAAAAAAGTTGTAGCGCCAAAATCGGCCCAACCTACGAGGTCTGGGGGTATGCACCCAAGAAAATTTCTCAATTTAGGGTCACGGAAATGCCATTTCCAGCGCTTTCTGCAGGACACTTTCAGTAAATTAATACGCAGGAAAATGCATCCCATCTTTAGACGGTTGTCGGTAAGGTACAAAGTTTACGGAAAAAAAAAGGCCAGTGACGCCATCAGAATATGGAACAATAAAAGGAATATTAACACAAAGACACCAATTAAGTGCAAAAAATGTATCAGTCATCCCGATTTAATGATTGAAAAAGGCTTTTTCAGGAAGTAAAAAATGTATAATTTTTCTATATTTCAGCTGCACATGTACGCCCTGGCTATGTGCGTAAATGGACGCTACGCTCCTGAAAGTGTCGCGGAAATTTCATGTAATAAGGTTTACAATAAACTTACATTATTTCTCGTTGTAACAGAACATCCAGCCTTCACCAACATTTCAACGATTTTCTCGTGTCTCATCCCCGCCGCTATGTGAAGTGCAGTGTTCCCATCCTAATTTTTTTTAAAAAAACATAAATTTACAGTGAAAACAACTCTCAGCCACTTAGAAATGTTTTGCAAAAGAAACAGATTGAAGGTTGTGTCTTGGTTGGATTCATGGCAACTGTGGTACCAGGTAATTCAATCTGTCAACAAACGTCACTAGAATTTCTGTAAAAATTCTCTCCGTGAAAAGTCGCCGCAAAAATAATGGGTTGGGACACAGTGCGAGCCAGTGAGCCATGCGAAATTTTTTTAAAAACAATCGAAACACGGAAAACATTTACTGAAAGCTAACCATGGTAAATAAGTGTTTAGCCCTAAACAGCGCTGAAGTAATCCATAAAAAAATGAATGCTTAATTGTAGTCCATGAAAATCGACCAATACTACGTAAGTCTAAAAATATTCCAGAAGCAAAACCTCACGTACCCACGTACCCATAGTATAGAGAACTAGACAGGAAACCTTTTTTTATGTATTTGCAATTTCACAAAACTTTATCTTTCACATCGCTCGCACGACGGCATGGCTCGCTGGCTTGCTGATTGTTTGGCCCCCGAAATATTGAATCTAACTTGGCTATTGGGTGGTTACGAAGAGCTAATTAAGTAAAACTTACGTTGTTTTGTTCAGAGATGTTGGTCTCCGCGGTTTCCAGCAGAATTTTACAAGCCTCTTTGTGTCCATATCGAGCTGCAATATGCAGTGAAGTGTCGCCATACTATTCAGCGAAATAAAAATGCAACAGTTTAAGATGATGTTAAACGAGACGACTCGCAACAACGATTTTTAGCGCAACACAGCGTTGCAATTCTGCAACAATGTTGCAACCATTCGAAACAAAGTCGCATCAATGTTGTACTGCTGTGTCGCGCTATTAAAACATCGTCGTTGCGAATCGTTCCGTGTAACATCACAAACACAAACAGCATGGCTTTCACGGTTAATTTATTACACCCGCGTAAAACCAACAAATAAGATCTGATAAAAGAGCAATTAAACTTGTAAAACAGACATACGTTATTCTTTGCTACTGGATTAGCTCCGCCTTTTAACAACAGTTCCAAAGATTTGCAGTGACAGTTTTGTGCAGCAAGATGAAGACTCGTGTAACCTGTCTGGAAGGAAAATTAGATTCAGTTGATATCAGTTAAACGTTTACAAGCCTAAGACTGAGGAAAAACACACCCAATAAAATTTCGTAGTGGAAACCTTTGCCCTTTAACTGTTCATAACTCTACACTTTTGCAGACGAAAATTTCTTGAAATGATAGCTATTTTACAAGCATAAGAACAGATGAATACATTGGCTGAATATGAAAAGGGATCGTTTTTAACCCTTAAAAAGCCCTAAGAGTGATCGGCATCAAATTTCTCCTTGTAATATCAATGATTCGTAAAGCAGGGTGGTCATGAGGATTACGGACATGACCACACAAGATGTGATTGATATTTTATCAACTTCTCCCCACTACTTCTGTAGAAAATGAATAGGGGCAACAAATGAGAATTCAAATTTTGATCTTAGGGATTAAAGGGTTAAAACACGTATAATAATGGTAGTCTGTACGTTTATTTGTTTGCTTCTCAATCAAAGAGGCGTGGAAAAGGTGTAAAAATTATTCAGAGATAGTATAGAAAAACAGTTCAACTAAAAAACCATTTCGCTAAATATCATAACATTTGTGTAATTTCTGTGATGTCCCGTCATCAACAAAAAGTGGATTAAACTAATGAATGCTTCAATTTGCAAGTGCAGCTTGAGTTTTCTACAATCCATAAAATGCAACAACATTCGCTACCCTCATGTTTTATATGTATAAAGTGTCCTTAACCTGATCCTGAAAAGTTTGGGACCACTGGAGAGGGGAGGGGAGGGGGTTAATGGGCAAGCTGCCTTGCCCACCATCTAAAAATCAGGATAAAAGTTCCCATCCCAAAAATAATGCCTCAACCAACTCAAAGAACAAGACATAGTAGATTAGTCCAGCCAATCTAGACCATGCATCACAGAATTCTGAGTGAACACCTTGAGGGTACACAAAAAAACACTGATGCAACAAATTACAAAATGAGGACCATCCCCACATATGGCTCAGTCTTTGCAACAACCTGATAGTGGCAGATCCAGGGGAGGGTCCAGGGGGCCTGCCCCCCCCCCCTTATTTTTGGACCCAACTGAGGTTCGAAGGGCCCAAAAATTTTTTGGGGAGACTGTTTCCCCCCTTCTCCCCTGTTCTCTCTAGGTCTGGATCTGGCACTGCCTGAACACCATAAACTGACAAGTCCCTTAAAATTAACAAGGTCAATAAATTTGTCTCTCTCGGACTTACATGTACTACTTAATTACTTTGTACAGCCTTTTTTATTACTAAATACTGTGTTAGAAGCTATCTTACCCGATTATGAAGGTTCACGTTACATTTTGCATTCACCAGAAGTGTGACACATTTACTGTAACCATTCCAGGCAGCCTCATGAAGAGGTGTGTTTCCATTCTGAGGAAGGAAAAAAAAAAGAAAATACATAGATTTACAGTCTAGCCTGTCCACAATAGCAACTTTAGTTTCCCTCGCAGCCTTCTTCACTGTAATAAACTGTCACACAAAGGAGGAGTATGCATGAGGACGCTAAATCAGGGTATTCAATAGGTATCAGAGATCGGAGAATTCTCCGTTTACTTTGCAGAATTCTCTGACTAACATTCGGTAGCTTATAACTATTTATCATTCAGACGAGAAGCCTCTTTCACAATATTCTAATGAAAACCCTGCTAACTACAGCAACAAGAGAGATCACTGCTTCAAAAGAGGATCAGACAGAGCTATTTGGAATGTAGTAAAGTAAAAGAAAGTGTGACTCTTGGCACTAGTCTACCTTAACATGACATGTTAGTTCTATATTGATAAACAGCTATTGTTACAATGTGGAAAATACATGACAATAATTGTTGTGTACTTAAAAGTAAGCACACTACATCTGTATTGCTTACAGTCGCCACTTACAATGTTAGAAGCGAGAACAAAACTGGGTCGATTTAACTTTCACAAAGAGTTTCTGCGACTGTTACTGCAGCGGACTGTGAGTGCAAACAGATTGGCCAATAACTGACTGGCCCGTCCCCTGTAACAATCCCAGAAGTCTTTGTGAAAGCTTACTAAACCCAGTTATCTTCTCGTTTTTAAAGTGCCGAATAGAGAGGAGAAGTGTGATGTCAGTACATTACGATGAGTGGCAAAATTTCTGGAACACAAAAATAGGGAGTTTTAGCAATGACAGCAGCAATACCAATGAGAACAGCACAAAGAAATAGGTTTACATTAGCAAAAGAACAACTTTGCATGTGCATGACACTATTTTCTACATTTCTCAACCATCGTTGCATGACTGCGACATGAAATTTCCTAATTTCCTGCAGCCCACTTTCTGAGGTACTAAGTGGACACAACACAACAATTTCCTTTTTCTTTTTCTAAACTTAGATACGGTCCTTTCAGATGCAACCCCAGAAAACTGCACCAACATTTGACAAATTAAATGAAAGCAAATAAGATCAATGAAGTTTGAAACAGTGTGAATTCTCCCTCTATTGAGCAGGGCTCAAAATAGTATTTCAACATTGGCCAGTCATATTGACATGGCTCATTTCTGACAGCTGAAAATACCCTTAGAAAATATTATTATTTTAAGGGTATTGCTAATTAAGACAAAAAATATCTCTTTGTACTTGCAGACATAGAAGTTTCTGTTTTATTTTAGAAAACCACTCAGTGGTTTTCACAAAGCCGCCGTAGAACGACTTATCTGTATTTTCCAACTTTTTTATTGCAAGCAGCTTAAACATTTGTTAATGTAATCGTTTTTGTAATTTCCAGAATTAATATGAATAAATTTATTTTTTTAGTTATTTATTTGAAAGCCGTACACTTGACCAGTCAAAAGGACCAATCAACTGAAAGTTTGTTCAGACAAAGGGTCATTTTGGCCAGAAATTGTCCGTGGACCAGCCATTATTTTGAGCCATGTTGAGCAGACACTAAATTAGATTAAGAAAACTGCTACAGAGAAACCAATTCTCTGTTCATGCAGTGTTGCAACACTCTTTAAAAATAAACCATATCCAACATCGCCACCCCTGCTGGGGTCTTTATAGCCACTATGATTACCTCATCTTTCTTGTCCATGGAACAACCACCGTCCAACAAAGCACGAGCCACATCTGCATGGCCATCAATTGCAGCCCGATGAAGAGCTGTCACTCCATTCTGCATATAAAGTTAATTACAGAAAACTATTAAATATATTTTTTATCAACTGTTGGTATATTTTTGCACAATATCAGTTTATAAATTATTGAAAGAAATTAACAAATTACAGAATTATTAAATTGTCACCACAATATTCAAAACTGCCTAATAAATCTCGTTACCGGTACTCAAATTTTAATGTTACTCATTTCCATTAAAATGGTATAAATGCAAGGGGATTTGCAGCTCCATCATCCAGGGACTACAGAGCAACATGCTAATCACTTATAAGGGGTCCTTGATATAGCTGACTGTCTCGCACTTATAAGCACAATCAGTCAACTAATTTGTACCTCATCTGTTATGTCCAAGTCAGCTCCTGCTTCTATTAGAGCCTTCACAGAAGCCAGCAGACCTTTGTAAGCTGCATAGTGAAGAGCTGTCTTGCCATTCTGCAGGATGAAAAGGAAATAGACAATATCTTTTATCTGATTCAATATACCGACCAACTGATAGCTTAGAACAAAATTAGCCATGAATAAGGGTGGAGCAGTGCACCTGGTGCTAGTTGCATAAAATGAGATGTCAGATGTAAAGTTTTACTAACATCAAGGTTGCTCAAAGTTTTCTTGAGTCTGAAACAGTTGTAAATGTCTAACAACCCCCCTCTTTAGCAAACATTAAGTAAACTGTATCTTGCAAAATGTTGTTTGCCTGTTGGATACCTAGTTGAAATTAAAAGATCATACATGCTAGCCCTATGGGTCATTCCACTAGCCCCACAGGCTATCACACAGCGCTAAATTGTCACACCTGAACATCTAGTGTTCAAAATAATGACTATATGACTGGATGTAACCCCACCATCTGTGCCTTGCCGGAGCCGACACAAATACCCCCCGCAACCAGCAGTCATTATGAAAGACCGGGCTTCATTATTTTATTCAAGGCAACTTAGAATGACTTCATATATATCATGACCAGACTTTTGGTGATTTCATTTGTCTGAGGACATAATAAAACTATATAAACCTCCTTTGTTGCTGAGTGAGCACACACAGGACATGTATATGCAATTTGGTAGGCAAGGGGTTAACATCAGACAATCATTTATGTCAGACTTTAAGATTTATGCAACTGGCCGGCGCTGCACAGAAACCTGTCCAACGAAGTGCACTCTCTAAGTTAATGGGGTTGGGGGCAGATTAACCCACCCTATCTATCCGTGAGTTCACATTGACACCAAGAGCAACCAGCCGAGAAATTTCAGAGACTTTGTTGAGCTTGATGGCAAGGAGAAGCTGATCCCCTGCATTACTCTTTTTGAACATTCGCTCCAATGTTCTTCAGTGTCATGCAATCTCAGTCATTTGCTTCATGTTAAAGAATTCAGTCGCTCAGCGAGGATTATACAGGAGCTTGGCGTCTTCTCTAAAACAAGTAAAATATTACCAAAATCTAATAATAACTCATGTATTATCTATTAATAATTTATCAACAAAGAACGACGTGTTATAAAATCTAACATCTGCCATTATAGGGTGTGAACCTTTTTTCTGATAATTGTCAAAGAATTAGTATATTAATTAAGGGGGATTTCCTTTACCTGAGAAAACCTTGAATGATTTACCTCTCAAAAAATAATACATATAACCGAGGTCAGCCACACCACTCTCACTCTTTTCCCCCTGCCCCTTTGCACGTGACTTATAGTTACTGTATTTTGCCATTTTTAAAAAAAAAAAAAAAATGGCTTCCCTTCCAGCTACCTCTTAAACAGTATTTTTCAAAGGGTTAGCAACAGGTTCACCCTAAACAGGGCTCGAAATTCCATATGGACAGGATTTTTTCGAGCCCTGCCTCCGCAATAATATATCCTGCTTTCAATTTACGTTTCAAGTCTCAAGACTCTTCTCCATTTTCCACTACCCAGCTGTTTTCAAGTTATCTGTCTTGATATTTGTCAAAGACCACCATACTGTTACATTCACTGAGGTAAGGGATCTCTTGACTTTGATACATGAATTTGTGCTAACTAAGCAAGGATGTGCTCTAGCAGTGCCCAATGACCCCTGTGTACACCTTATTTTTGTTCTTGCGGAGTGACTTAAGGACAAGCAAATCTTAGTTTTTTCAACAAAATCATGCTGCACACCCTGATTTCACAGGTTCAGGGCACTGGGCTCCCTTTAATTTTTCTTAGTGTACAGCACATGTACAGCCTTGACTACTTAGGCTTATCAGATCTGGGCAGAAGACAAATATCTAAGTGTTATTTTCCTATTGACCGACTGTATTGAAAAAAAATCACCTCTGAAGATGTGCTATTGTTTAATTGTAAAAATAGTTTTCAATTGAATAACTGCCAAGTAATTATCACCTCATATAAGTAAAATGCTCAGGAAATGTTTCAGGCAAAAGTAAAAAAAGTTTGGTAGGAAAAGGCCGCATGGAAAAATTTGCGGCAGCTGGCTCAAATTTCAAAATATGCTGCAGAGATATTTCTCCTCATGATCCTTCTAGAGGTCGCCACGATGGCAGGCTGCTTTCGCATTAAGCCAATTAAATAAACAATTACGCTTATGCTCAATGAACAAACGTTTACTGCGAACTTTTACGATGAACCGGTCACCTGAAGCGAACAGTAACCTTTTAACATTAGAGATCGAAGTAAGAAATGTAAATTAGCTCATAAAAGCAAGTTAAAGAAGACTGCTTCGCGCTGACAAGTCGAAATCACGATACCCACATTATCCAATGCGATATTTAATAGCTTTGCACTATTTTCATCGCAAGATATTAACGGTACAAGACTCCTAAATGTTTTCGTTACAATTAGCTCAGCATGCTAAAGGTGTAAAAATGGCGCTAAATGAGAAGTTTACCCTAAAATCTCAGTTGAATTCGCTTTTGGAAGCCGAAGGACGTTGTCAAAAAGATACCTGAAGAGAATAACAAAGATAGCTTTAACGATTAAGACTATCAAGCATTTTAAGCTGATATCTCGTATTGTTGCTGGTCATGGAGTCAACAGCACATTTGGATTTCTACTTAGCATGATCTTTTTAAACTTTTATCGCTTTTGTATTGCTGAAGAATTGACTTTAGCGCTTTATTTGCCATAATTTCAGAGTAAAGTAAATAAGGCTCGCGCGGGAATGGCCTTTGTAGAAAACAACATGTGTTAGAGCATGACTTTCTTGCTGTGATAAATATGGGCCCCAAAAAAACGATTTCCGCGTTGGAAGTCCCGTTAAACAAAACAATTTCCTGTTAATTTAGCAGAAGAACTTTTAACAAGTTGAACCGAACTTACCAAATTACTGCTGACGAGTACATTCCAGATAGATTTTACTTCTTCCTTGCCTTGCTTCGCATTAATTGTTCGGCGCGGCAAAAAGTTATCTCGATCTCCACCAAAACAAAACACAAGAGGGTTACATAAATGCTACCGTATCATCGAAACACGTATCATTAGGTTATAAAGCTTCTTTGAAAACACAAGTTAGACCGGCAGACATCTGCGGATAGTTGTTACAGACAATTGTAAGTGACCAAAATAGCCCACCCCTACAGCGATAAAACAAACGCTCCGGAAACCGCAAGATCTGTCACGAAATCTGGGCATCGATCGGAGAGTGACAAGAAGCACGTGACAGGCGTCAGCAATTGCGGAAAGTTTCTCCAAAAAAGAAACACATCTCATCTGCTATATATAAAAAAAGAAATGGTTTGGTAGGCACCTACTGCCATATTCTTATTTTAATTGTGTAAGAATGACAATATATTTTCTTGAGGTTAATTTAATAGGGCCACAAGGGAAGTACATTTCTGGAAAAAAAATTGGACGTTATATTTTCAGAGAGCTCGAGGCTTCGTCCCTCGCAGACTGCCCAACCATCCCGATCTCGTCGGGATTCTCCCGATTTTTCTTGAAACTCCCGAATCCCGACCAATGTGCGATAGGGATAGGCTTTAATTTATGAAGTAGACTGGAGGGAAGTCAGATAACTGAGAAGTCTCGCTGAATTAAACACATTTTTGCTTTATCTTTTCGGTGAGAAAAAATAAAATAACTTCCAGTTATCTGAGTGATTTCAAAGGACCCAAAGTGTCATACTTCTCTGCTGCATTAAGCTGTGAACAAAGGCCGTTCTTTCTAGTGACTTGCCTTATTTTAGAAACATTATTTTTCTTTGAAGAGTGATGGCTGAAACAAGTCCAAAGATGAATCCGGTAAACCGGCCAAAACGCGAGCATCACCACATGAAACGAATCCCATAGGAATGGTGTAAAAGGATAATAAAAAGTCCAGGCCATTCTAACAAATTCCGTACAGCGGTATTTTGCAACTCATGGGCCTATAACTGCCAGCTTTTTTTAATTTATAGGCGTGACTTTTTTATCCTGAGAGTGCCAGGATTTTCCAAAGGGGTCCGATAATAAACGAAGATGTCCGAAGACATTCCAAAGAGACTTCCGAAGATGTTCTGAACAGTTCCGCTTTACACGAACATGGGAACACGAAGGAAAAGGGCCTTGTCTCGAGCACGGTGACTTTCCTTACTAAAACAAGACGCTATGGGAGCGTACACTTCTTCTTTTTTGCGTATCGTGTGGTGTTATTTTTAAAAGCGTATTGAAAAGCACCTTAGCATTATTTCGGCCTATAGATTTAGAAAAAAAAAACACAAACACGGCAGTACAGTTCGCGTGAAGATTATTATTGTTGTTGTTGTTGTTGATGGAATTTGACCGGCAAACTAATAAATCTGGGTTTTCCACGGTGTATAACGAATTCCAAGCTAGACTCCAGGGGAGAAAGACAAGGTTTCGACGGTAAAAAGCCAAACTGAAACGCACTTTGGAGAAACATGGCGCAACATATTAAAGCAAACTCGTCTGCGAAGTGAGACGCACTGAAAATTATTGCTCTTGTATCTCGTTAAATAAAGCAATGGAACGTGCTCGCGCGTCAACCAATCAGACATTTTTCGCCGCTGAACCTGTCACCCAGAGGAGAGACAACCGTCTTCCCAGAATGCCACGCGATTGTTTGTCACGCTGTCAAAGATGGCGGTAGTTTTTGGCGAAAATCGGCCGTGGATTGAGCTGCCGTTTCTTCCCGTTCCATCAGGTAAAATACAGGTAAAATTTAAACTTATTATTCTATAGCGTATATACTTAAACTCTAGAAAGCAGGCGATTGCTGGACAACAATTACTCATTTAAACAAACTTGTCTCCAAGGAAACCTTTCTGTCTCTATTTTCACTTTTCCATGCATTTTATCAGTTATCGAGACTCTAATTTTTTACTAGTCCTCACTAAATGACGCCAACGAAGAAAGGAGGTTGATTATAAGACGCTATTGCCTTAGTAGATAGATATGACGAAGGAAAAAGGATTCGTTGTAAAAAAACTGATCTCATATGATTGGGTCGTCAGTGAGCACGCGCAAATTCAATTTTTATGTCACAATACGAAACACGTTGATTTCGCTCAAGAGGAACGCTATTGGTTTCTTATTTTGCCTTACTCATAACACAAATATCTGTGGGAAAGAATTTTGTAGATAAAATTCAAAATGGGGCAAACGCTCAGCAGGTTTAGATCAGAAAGAGAGGAAAAAGCCCGTCGGAAAAGGTAAGTTTTCACTCACGGACGGATTGGTGGGGATTGGTTTGAAAACTTTTTGAGTTGGTTTCTTCTCAAGTGGCTTTTTTTGCCGGAATACTTTGTCGCAGAGATAAGATTTGCGCCGAAAACATTTTCGGAAAATCTGGTCGGAAAATAAATGGGTCGTTCTAGCGGAAAATTTCCGGGAGCAACGGAAGTTACCAGTAGGTTATTCCCATTTTATTGCTTAGAGGAATCTGATACCCAATTCTTCGTTTCCATATTTTTACTGTTAACTATTATATGCAAATTCATGTACATATAATATTCATCTTTTTATTCACCTTTTTTTGTATACTGAAAGGCCCGGTTCAGACGCCGTACTTTTCACGAGCGAAATCGGATACATTGAATTAAGTACATAAAAAATTCGGCGTCTGAATTGATTAGGAACGCCTGTTTCAATTTGGAGCGGCTCAGCCGTTTTTTCTGCCAAGCCGGGCCGGGAATTTTGCCTTTGGATCCTCTTTGGAACGCCTTTGATTCAGATGTCGAACTTTCCATGTACCGAACCTTTCAGTTTGTATTGAAATTTGTATTGAATTTCCATTTGTTATATTTATAATTTGTTTTTAATTTCAACTCACCTCGGTCGTTTCTCGTTATTTCACGCCTTGTGACGTTGTTTCAGGGCCAAAGTCGCTTGTCGAAATTTTACTGTAACAGGGCTTCTCCAGTCGGTTCGCAAATAAGTGGCATTGCGGGAACTTCGATTTTGTTTTTGTTTGTTTGTTTATTTGTTCTTTCATGTTGCTGTTATCGCTAGTTAGTGCAAATCGCCTTCAACCCTTTCTGCCTTCAGTAACAGAGCAATGGAGAACTTAAGCAGCGACGACAACGAAGTCATGAGCGAACAACAAAAAAGCAAAATAACATCATGAGACCTGCTCAAGTTTCGTTTCCGCTTCTTGGGCAAAGCAAACCGAAAACTTTTAGGGGGAGCCGTTGAGAGAATGTATATGAGAACCGCTAAAATAGGCTCCTTGCAGCTAGCCATTCACGTGGTACAAAACTGCCGTGCTGAAGAGCAAAAGTCGCACTGGGACAAGACAAACAAAGAAAATTACCATTTCAAATTATGTATGTCTTTTGTTTGTCTTGTCCCGGTGCGACTTTTGCTCTCCAGCGTGGCGGTTTTGTACCACGTGAATCGCTAGCTGCAAAGGGCCTATTGGGCCTGATATCAAGTTAAAGCAAAATGTTTTGATTGGCAAAACGACTCGAGTCGCACGTGCATCACCCTTTTTTGTACATTTCTTTGCCGTCACTGCGCGACTACGACGTGAAAATGCATAATTCCACGTAATTTGGAGAACATGGACACAAGACAACGACTATCTTTTTCTTTTCCTGAACTTCGATACAGTCTTTTAGAATCAAATCCATAAAAAATTGCCAAGATTTGACGAATTGAACGAGATTAAATGAACGCGATAAAACGGATAAAGTTTGATGCAGCGGCGATTTCTTTTTTTAAGTGACCATTTCGTAGGCGTCGACGTCGTCTTTACTTATAAGCTCCCTAATGTTCAGCCGAAAGTTTCTCCTCACAGAATCTGTTTGACTTCTTGATCAACAGAAGGCTGATAATTCGCTTAGATGAAGCACAGGAATACATCGAATGTCTTCAGGAACGATTCCAGCAGATGGAGAAAGAGTAAGTTTTCTAACTTGTTACTAAAGCGAGTTAAAATTAGGCTGAATTCTTCCTGGAATTCTTTGTAACGTAGCATAATTATATGATCGTTAAGCTTAACTCTGATCTCGTTTAAGTCTGCAAATGGCATGTAGAGAATAAACTTCAAATGCACCCCTCATCAAATTATTTTAATTTATTGGCCCCTTCTACAGTCTGAATAATGGGACAAGTGAGAAACCCATCATTCGCCACTTCCACATTTCCCAAAATGCACCTTGTTTGCCCCCAACCTTTTGGATAAGCTTTATAGAGAGATTACAAGTCACGTTTATGGCGAACTGCAAACGTCAGATTCAAGTTGAGTATTTTTTGAAACAGAAAATAAGCAGACAAAAACTGTCTAGTTCAATTCTTATGGATAAAACTGGCGCGAAACTACTTATTAGGGACTTTAAGATAGGTCACTACGGTAGGCTGGGACGTTTGGATGCGTATACGGGCGGCCTGGGGCCATGACGGTAAGAAGCCGCGAAAATTTTCAATTTAAGATCAGACAACAAAACAGAGGACGGTGAAGTCATGTGCTAAACTCGCTTGTCATTTCTTTCGCAGAAGGCTCAATTACTGAAGAAGAGTTTCTTATTTTATACGAAGAATAATCAGAGGAATAAGGGTACAAATTAAAGCTAGCTAGTTTTCAAAACTGTAGTCGATGTTTTTATTCGAAGTTTCTTTTCCTCAGCCAACACCTTTTGAGTTATAAAGAAATATTTTCTTCGTAAAAATACAGTTTTAAGTTATAAAAAAGACGGCTACAGTCATAACTGTTAGGCCCAGTTGAAACGTCGAACTTCTCATGTGCCGAAACTATAAAAGCACAAATTACTAAAAATCATTTTCACTTGTTTAAAGCATTCTGGACCACTGAACGTCGTGAAAATGAATCGAGTTCGACTACACTTTAAGATCGACGCCTGAATCAACCTCAAACCATTCGGGTCGACCTAAATAGGTATTAAGTTAGGTACATGAAAAGATCAACGTTTGAACTAAGCCTTACCTTTCTTTTCGGCAATTTTCCTCTGCCATGGCGGACGACACTGGGTAGAAAACAAGCAGTCGCCATGCGGCCGCGAGCTAAGTTATGAATGAACTCAGACATTTTCGCTTTTTTTTTCATTTCACCGATAGGTAAATCAATGTAAACACAAGCCAACGCATATTTAACCCGTTGGTTACTCAGTTTTAGAAGAAAAGTGACAATAAGTGTGCATGAACTCTTATCGGTTTCACCGTTGTCTTCACGACGAGAAACCCGGCGAAAACATACCGTCCCAGAAGGACGACGGTAAAAGGTCACGCATGTTTTGCGTGACGTGACATCTATCTAACCGTCCCAGGCGACCGTAGTCACCTATCTTAAAGTCCCTATTTTCGAGTAGAAGTAATAAAAAGTAAACGACAAACTTGGTCGATCACGTGGTACAAATTCACGTTTGCCGTCTAGCACAAACGTGAAACTTAGTCTCTCGAGCTCTATTGTTTTCAGCTTCTCTTGAGACGGCTGTAATACCCACAAGAAATTAAAAACAAATGTTATGTAAAGTTTTAGGCGGCGAACAAGGTGTATTACGGGAGATGTGCCAATAGCGAATGCTAAATAATCAACCGACCACTGCACATAAATACCTAGGAGTTCAGACAGATAGATGAAAAACTTAGCTGGGATTTTCATGTCATGTGTAAGAAGCTCGCAGAATAACAGAAAATTTATAACTCACGAACAGGAACGTCCTATAGGTTTCCTTTCAGTTTAACTCATCGTGTCGGAAGAACAGCTGTGACAGATGAGGAAAGAAGAGCCATAGAGGGAAAACAACATGCTAGGGATGAAAGATATACTGAAACACTACGCAGAGATTTAAGGTAGAAAATTGATTCTATAATGTAATACAGGGCAAAACAAATTTATAAGCGAGGGTAAACAACCACTACAATAAAAACGGTTGCGCTCTTTCAAAATTTATTGCATTTATTTAGCTTCTTTCAATTTGCCACATGTACGCTAATATTTTCCTTTAGCTGAATTGTTAAGGACTCCATCTAGCTATCTGAATTCACAAATAGAAAGGAAAAACTTTTGGCTGAGGGGTAATCAACAAAGTTTTATAAGGAGTGGAGATCCAACACCTTACCCTTTTACATACCATTTTTGACCGAAAAGGTACTCCTTTCGTATACCTTTTATTGATCATGACAAAAGAGAACTATGTAAAAAAGTCATCATTTGACGTAGTTCATGTTACAAATCAGTTCATTAATTAGACGTCTCCTAAAAACTTAGTATTTATGATTTCACTTAAGTCTTTGCTTAAATTATTCCATACTTTTACAACACAGTAATAAATATTGAATATTGAAGCTATTTTTCCATCTCAGTCTGTCTAACATGGACAATAGCTCGAGTTGAAAATTTATCTGACTTTTGACTGCTGTAACTGCACTTTTTAGGTTACATATGAATAAATCACAAAACCGGGAAATTTTTCGACTTTTTCGCCGTCATAAAAGCCTTCTGTTAGCCTTTTTAGGTCCTTTTACAAACCGAAATGACAGATATGATTCCTCTACCCTTTCATTTACTTCAACGAGTTAAAACTCTACCGTTTTATATACCTGAAGCGTAAAAATGGTACCCCTTTCGGGCGGAACCTCCTCTTATAGGCCATTATATTTTTGACCCCTCCCCGGATTTGTTGGGGTGTGTTCACGTCCTCCATGTATTAGGACGTTTCACTCTATAATCGTGCAGTGGACGTCGATTAAACTGTATCAAAAAATATGATGCACGTGCAGAGCTCTTGCTTTTTTTTCTTCATGAGAAAGAATTGTGTTTTTTTTTAAGCTCTTCAGCGTTGCCGTTGACAATCGAAGTGGAAACACCCTACTGTATATATTCTCTTTTTCCGAATTCCCCCCCATAATACACTCTGTTTGCCCCCCCCAAATTTTGCGTAAGTTATTATTTTCACATGCTCTAGGTAATAATAATAACTTAATATTTATATTGCGCAAAATACATGTAAATATGATCAAATGCGCATAGGGAATATGCAGTCCTCCCAGGAGCATTTGAAGACAATATCTTGCAAAATTTGGGGGGCAAACAGAGTGTATTATGGGGGATTCGAAAATAGAGAACTGATTATTGTTGTTATTGTAGCCTCTAATATATAAACTCTTCCTCTTAAATGCGCGCTCTTGTTGTCTCTCTCTTTCACTAGGGTCCTTATCATTATCATCATCATCATCATCATCATCCTGAAAAAAGTGAATGCAAGTGTGAAACCACCGCACTTTTTTTAAAAGGCCTGCTCGGACAGAAATAAGAATTGAAAGACGCTTGAATGTATCCAGTTAGCTTGCCTGTTTAGCTGACGGTGCTGCAGACCGGCTTCATTCCGCGGTTGCTCTGCAAAGCCGCGAGAAAAACAGGGCTGGCTAAGTCGCCAAACAGCACTCTTGCACGCTGATCCCGCCAACAAACAAAACGAGTTCTTATACCCGGCCAAACTGATTTTTAGTACTTTTTTCTTTACAGCAATCTGGAAAGGAGGAAGAATGAAATTCAAAGAAAAAGTTCCGCAGAACGACGTAAGCTAGAAACATTAAAAGACTTAAAGCAAAAAGTTTTAATGAATCAGCTCCTCCAGCGGATCCAGCTGCTTCCGAAGAAAAAACCGCTGGACACCAAAACTGTTTGCTCAGTTCCTGATGTTCGCTTCGCAAGTTGCGCTTTTAGTGATGTGACACCTTAAAATAAACAAACAGTTATTAACAATTACTTACTTATTATCTACCTTACAAACAGAATTACTATTAAACTTATTCCGAGAGCAAAGAATACGTGTTCTTTTCTGATCCATTATTAAACATGAACAAATAACTGAAGCATTTTTGTTTTGTTCAAGTTTCTTTAAAATCCCGGGTTAAAATGTAGTACATGTAAACAGTTGTTTTGATGTCATAATTTTGTAGTGGAAAGCAAAACAAATCAGATTCCTCTAGGAGATAGAATTATTTGAATCAGGTCAATTTTACTTTTTATGTCGGGGAGGGAAAGCCAGAGAAACCAGTTTGAGAATTTAGGGTGCCAGAGAGTCTTTTTCTCGTCTAATTCTTGACAGGTCGCAAGTCCAAACCGTAACCACGGTTATTTAATCTTACGTATTTCGAAAACGGACTTCTGGAGTCAGAACTGAGAAATTGCTCCTCGGAGAAAGAACGCCAACTAGTGGAAACAACAACTCAGGTGAGAACAGCTTTCCTGCTTTGCGGCTGGGCTCCAGTGAACAAAGTATATGGGCAAATTGTTTGTTCAAATCAAAGCTGTCCGTCTATATTGATTCGAATTCGCATCACTTAACCCTGTACCTTTGTGGACGCTGAAAAAGCCGAATAGCGTTTACTTTTTTTTAAAATTATCCAGCAAAAAACCCTGGGTACGAGAGAGTTTTTTCTCGCATGCGCCGAAATGCTTCGGTGTCGGCCGTAGGCCGACATTTTTCGGACGAAACCACCGAGTACATGGGCATCCAAGACACTTGCAGTATTTAAAAAATCAAGGTTATTATAGTTCTATCAGTTGAATTCTTGCCAGCAGAAACCCATATTCCTACAATGGCTGCTTCATATGTCATGCAATCTCTCGATCTTCTCGAGGAGATCAATGAATTTGTTGAATTATTGAAGTTTATGCTGTCCCCTCCTTCGTGGTTGCGTTAACTCTGTAATTTGTGGCGTATATCATTCTTCGCTGTAACTTTATAGTGAAGAGCCCCGCCACAAGGCAGGGCGATGAAAAATTAGTCGTAAAGACTCATTCAGTTGTTCTCCTCCACGGAAATCTTTAGTAAAAGGCGAAAGATTTATGCGTGCTGAAGGAAAACTAGAGCAAGCGATTAAAGATCAGACAGGGAAGTCTTTCAATGTGAGGCGGCGAGCCATGTGGGATCAAATAGAACCTCTTAAGTATCAATCAGAGTGCCTGGGCATCTGACGCACTAATAATTAAAGGAGATTGTTTTTCATGTGCCTTTCGATTTTAATTTATTTCACCAGTTTCTAGAGCCCATGGTCAAGTAGAATTCGACATCATGATTCCGTGAAAACTTTGTGTGTCCGATGCGCATGTACTCTATTGATATTTAAATATGGTTCCATTCGATCCCACATGGTTCGCCGCCTCAAACTGAACTACTTTCCTGTCTGAACCATTACGGCCATCTCTGGTTTTCCTTCAGCACGCATAAATCTTTCGCCTTTTACTAAAGATTTCCGTGGAGGAGAACAACTGAATGAGTGTTTACGACTAATTTTTCATCGCCCTGCTTTGTGGCGGGGCTCCTCACAATAATGATACAGCGAAGAATCATATCAAACTACAGGGTTAACGCAACAAGGAAGGAGAGGACAACAAAAAGTTCAATAATTCAACAAATTCAATGATCTCTGCAAGAAGATCGAGAGATTGACAAATGAAGAAGCCAGAGTAGGACTAAAGCTTTATGCTGGCAAGAATTCAAATGATAGAACTATAAAAACCTTGATTCTTTAAATACTGCGAGCGAGTGTCTTCGATGCGCATGTACTCTCATTAATTTTTGTTTTTAAAATATGGTTCTTTTTCTTCCCACATGGCTTGCCGCCTCAAATTGAACAAGATCCCTGTCTGAACAATTTGTCGTCTGCTCTGGTTTTCCTTCATCACGTAAGGCAAGGCCCCTGAACAAAGCATTAAAGTATCGATCATATCAAAGCATCGATCATATAAACAGGCTACGCAACCACGAAGGCGATAGCAACGAAAAGTTGAGGCCCTGTTTACACTAATACTTTTTCAAAAGTGGACGCTTTCGTTGTCATCGAAAACGCAATGATCGACTCGCGTCTACACTACCTTTTTAATGCGTTTTCGCATGTCCACATTAAAACGTTCCAAAACGATAGAATTACACGATGTAACGTACTCTGTTGAACTCTAAGCGCATGCTATAAACACACGTGCCTCCGATTTTCATTTTGATGCGTTTTCGACCCTTTTCAAGCGTCCACACTAATAATAATAACAAACCAAAATATAATTATCCAGTCAAAGTATTAAAAAAAACACACACACTGGCTTCCTCTTTTATCGAATTGTACTTTGCCTTTAATTTCTACAGATTTTTTTGTGTTCAACCCAACCTGACTCGCACGTGATTTTAAGTTGCAACCAATAAAAACGCACAATTTTCGGGACGGGCACGGGATACGGGAAATTTAAAAAAACATGCCAATTTGTGACAACGATGAAAACGATGTTCGAGCGAGTTTTTGTCGCTGGCTGACAACGTCATCCCGTGTAAAAAAACGGATCGAGCACCATTAGAAAAGACAAGCTAGTAATGACCAGTCACTAGCAATCTCGCACGCGTGAACACGTAACACCACCTGCGTCGTCCAAAGTCACTCCAATGACTCCATATGAATCCTTCGGACATAGGCCTGGATTGTAATTGTTTCGATCCAAGTATCCTACCTTATAACAGGCTTTCTTTTCTTTCTAAATTATGATCCAAGCCAATTTTAGAAGGATTTGTAAAGAATCAAAAAATTGAGAGCATAGAGGTGCTTACATCTACCCGCCAATTTGCACCAAAAGGCTGATTTTTGGCAAATGAACATTTTTTTGTTTTGCTCTTTCTGAATATGCCTTTCAATCCCATAATTTCACAAATTGGAATTTTTGTGACGTCACACTCATCTTCTCTATTTACGCTTTTCTTCACCACGCTTATATCTCTTCGTTTTTCTACTTAAGACTTGAATCCGCCTTTAGGTGTTTTCGATGCGCATGCACTCTCATTAATAATTTAAATTGGTTCTTTTTCATACCACATGGTTCGCCGCCTCAGACTAAACAAGCTCCATGTCTGAATGTAGTAGTTGTTAATTCTGATTTTCCTTCAGCACGCATAAATCTTTCGCCTTTTACTAAAGACTTCAGTGGAGGAGAACAAATGAATTAGTCTATGAACTAATAATTCGTCGCCCTGCTTTGAGTTAGGGCTTTTTATAAAAAATAAAGAAGTTTCTAAATCATTTTCTGGTGATTCTGATATCATCGATGGACCACTATCAAAATCAAATCATAGGTTTAGAGAGGTTTAATATTTCTTAAGGACTGTCAAATTTGATCTTACATACATATAAACATTCAAAATAACCTCCGATTTCACAGAAAGCCATGAAAGCGCTTTTAAGGTTAGTACATTGTGTACAGAAGAGGCAATTACTAAGAAAGATTGCCTTGTCGTCTTTTGAGCAATTTTCGCTTTTAGATCTCTCCGCGAGTTAAGTCCACTTAAATAAGGATGGTACTGCGCCCTTCTTTAATCGTTTTTTTTTCCTTTTTTCAGCATAAATGATGGGTTTGAAATTGACCCCTTGATGCTCCAGTAATGCAAAGCGAATAAGGCCCAGTTCAGACGTCGTGCTTCTGCCGTGCCGAACTAAATTCAGGGATTAAGTTCGACAAAAGCACAACAGAAGCACGGCGTCTGAATCAAACCTTTGAATAAAGTTCGGCAAGCAACTAAGTTCGACAAGCGCTGCCAGCCATCCTTCAAAATATAACCTGGCTGCGTTTAGGGAGACAATTTTCTCTTCCATCCAGATGTACTTGGTATATGTGTTTGCGCGAATCTTCAGACAAATAATTGGGTATACACTGATTCGAATGGCTTGGCGATACTAAGTGCTTAAGTCTACTTACCGATTACAACATGTTTTGGAAGTATTGAGAAGCGCGCCAAACGAAGTTGTCACAGCGTTCTCGAGCGAACACGGCGCGACCTGGATTGATAAAAATTACCATTACATGCAGGTATCATGCCAGTGATATCTCCTTTCGTCGCATAGTGAATAGTTTGGGAGCACATCCTCGACTCTCGAAACATTTGTCTTGCGCCGCTATAGAAGTTGCTTCTCCCGCGAACCATAGGTAGATTTCCCGCTTAACATAATGTTTGATAATTTATGCAAAAGTTGACCTCGTGAAAGTCAGCAGTGCATTAATCGACTCAAAAATAAACAGACTTCCTAAAGGGTTTTGAACACGGTTTTAATTTAAGTACTTTACGAGCGCTGCGGTAGTTGACCGCAAAAGTGTTACGGTGATGGATACTCAACGGGATGATTACGTCACTTCATAGCAACCAGACGGTACGAATTTTTTAACTTCCGGAGCGCTGAGGCTCGTAGTGACAGACGTTTAAAAGAGCCGCCATGCTGGCGCTATGAGTATCAATAACTGATTATTACTATCATCATCATTATTATTTATTACTTATAATTATTATTGAAAAATTCCGCATTGCTCAGTAGTACGTCACACGACCACTTGAGAGCAAACAGGAAAAGTTGAGCTCGAAATTGCTGTTGAGCTAGAATACAGGAAGAAGTGAAGCGGCGTCGTAATGGCAAATAATCGTGGCACAATGTTTTCCCGACGCAATCCTCCGCCTGCTAACAACCAAGAGTTAATGGCACCTTGGTTCAAACATCGCTTCCTGGTGTATCTTCAACGAATTCAGCAGGGAGGTGCTCCAATTGGTGGTTTATGTTCCTGTACACTGGGAATTCAAGAAAATGTTTACACGCAGTTACCACCGGCTCAACAAGCCCAAGTAGCGGAAATATTTCGCGCTGCCGAAGGAGCTTGGGCTGGAAATGGTCCACAAGGTGGATTTGCCGCGCCTCAGACAGGAGGCGGTGGAAGGCCTGTCTTTCCAGTTTTCTTGGCTGAAACACCCCACCAAGGCGACCGTATCATCAAAGTATTTGCTTGGAGTGATACACGCGGTACGTTTTGTTTGTCTACAGGTGGAAATAGGCGTTTAGTTGCTAAGCCATATGCTACTGCACAGTTCTACTCTGGGCATACACCGGATAACCAGGGAGTTGAAATGTGGCCAATCTTTCTAGTTTTCGCTGACATTGCCGACGCTCATTAAATAGACAAGGTTGTCTCGCGTGAATTAACACAAACTTGCTGTTGTGTATAACATAAGCACTTTTTAAAAAGGGCGCATGATTGTGAACGTTCTTTTTCGTTTTTTAGGCGAACGGACTGTTAACACATCGTGTTTCATGAAAGACATTTTATATTTCTTAATTTGGGCTTTTGTGTGTTGAAGTCTGTACGATAATGCGATAAACAAGTTATATTCACATACGATGCATCTCGTAGTCAGGGCTTCTGATATTTCGCGCCGTCGCAAGGCCGCGAAATTCGGTAGAAATCTTATCAAATACATGTCTGTACAACATATTTGAAACTTTTCTCAGCTATTGGGGCTATTTACTTGCCCGTAAACGTGTAAATTTATCCTGAAACTTCGTCACTTAAACGTGTAAACAACGTCCCGAAACTCCGAAACTACCCAGGCGTAGATTATGTTGCGAAAAACTGGGCACTAGCCATGATGTTAAAGGCTTTGCCATTGGTTCAGTTCCGGAGCGTAATGTTGTTGAAAGAGCAAATGATGACCTCTGTTAGAAAAACATTAAAAACGCTGGTCTGGTCAGCGCGAACCCGATTGAAATCTAACGAAGTTTTCCCTGAATATAACCACAAAATCGGCCTTTTTTGACCGATTGATTTTCGGCTAAGTTTGCCCCAAATCCTGCGAAATCGGTCGATTTTTCCGCGAATTGGCCCCTAAAAATCCCGCGAAATTTGACTTTTTTTCTGCGACCTATCAGAAGCCCTGCATAGTATGGTGCGATCCATCAGATTTGAAAATATCGTTGATAGAAGTCGGTATAAATTTGGAGGCAGACTGGCTCTGTTTATGCGATTTGGCACATTTTTTATCATGAAAGCAAAGCAGGATAAGATGAAACTTTTGTTGTAACTTTAGTCTTTTAATTTAAATCTAAATCGTAGAGAAATCTGGTCGCCAGTTTGGCGACTAAACTAGAATTTTTAGTCGCCAAGGAGAAAATGTTAGTCGCATTGGCGACCGTATCAGTCGCAATTTCGAGCCCTGAAAAGGTATTTCCAATTAATAACACTTCTATCTCCATCACCTTCATGAATTGTGTCATTCAGTTGCATAAGAACTATGAACAGTTCAATCAAAGAGAGGCCATAATTCTGGACTTTGTCATCGACTGTCACACCCAAGTGGAAAACATGGTAGTCAACAAACTTCCCAAGCACCTTATCAAAGTGTTCCTTCTTTGCCTCCAAGCTTGCATTTTGTTCGGGCAAATTTTTTGTAGGCTCACTTTTAGTGTTTTCCATACCAAAGAATTCTAGGAAAGCTTCCACTAAGTAAGCCCTTCCAACTGACACAAAGAACTCCTCATATGCATCAGGGTTGTTTTTGACAGTTGTTGGAACATTGTAGCGCATAATACGCTCTCTAAAATTCTTCAGTGTACCAATTTCACGTGTTGAATTCTGGTTCATCAGGACATCATTAATGAGCTGAAAATAAATACAAAACAATAACAATTATTGTTATTTAAATTATGCATTTTATTTTGCCAAGTAGACTCCAAACTCCACAATTGAAAAGTGGGCTATGAAATGTCCCTCAGCCTTTTTATTCAATGTGTTAAGAACTGTTTTGTATAAAAGAGCTTTTGATTAAACTCTGCTTTGTTTTATATATTTATGTGAAGAAGAGATGATTATTACTATCATATTTACAATATAGATATAGTATTAGGAAACTTAAAGAATTCAACTGTCTTTTCTGATCAAGTGTGTCATAGGCAGCCAGATTTAATAAATCCAGTTTGTTCTTGTATGCTCAACAGTTGTTGAACAGAAAAGGACTAGATTAAATAATTATAGTACGTAAGTCTTGCAGTCACCACATATATTACATATGTTGCATAGCTGTACTTACAGTTAAGAATGCTTGCTTTGTATGAAAGAGCTCTATAACATCAGGCTGAGAATGTTCCAGTCGGTCCTTAGAAGTGTGAGCTCCAGCCCTTAGTTTACGCCCATACGTAAAACGCACTCTTGTCAACTGATCGCCACCAGATGGACAGTTAAAGTCAGCTGGGATGTAGGTTTCTTGTTCAGGACCTTCATTATCTGTAGCTGCTTTAAATATTGTTTCAAATGTGGCTTCATGGCTAGCCAAGATGTCTACCACATCTGCATATTTTTTTTCATCTTTGAATTGAATTGGCAGTGGAAACACTTCTGACTTCGAGCTCATTTCGTTAGTGTACCTGTGCAGAATGTACTGTGGTACCAGCTTCTTAACTGCTGCAAATTGAGGTTGTTTGAAGAATTCTAAAAAGATTCTCCCCACAAGAACTTTGAAGTCTGACTGGAGTTTCTTGATTTTCTCTGAGGTAAGGAGGTAATTCTCATTCGGAAAATTCTGAATGTCACCAAGTGGCCTGACATTGTCCAAGTGGCTGAAGTCAATCCTCTCAAAAACAACAATACTTGCAAACCAGTTGTGCTGCTTGCTCCTGTGATCTACCCTCATGTTCTTCACTGTTGTTTTGCAGTTTAAATTGTCGTTAACAGTGTAGAATTTCTTTCCAGCTTGACCAGTTCAACAATTTTGTCATGAAAGTGTCCTCCCATAGAGGTCATAGAGGTGTGTGACAAGCACACCCCTTGCTTTTCTAAACGTCCATACGTCTGAAATAAGAAAAAAACTATTTAAAATGATAGTCATAATCATGCAAATTAAAGAAAATCCTAAAAGAACTCTGGGGGAGGTTCTTCCGTATAATTTTATATATATAAGAGGCTAATGGGGATGTGCTGCTGGGTCGCATTTTCACGACTGGATTGACTATAATGGACTCGTATTTTCAATAGTTACTAGAGATGGGGTTGCACATTTCCTGATTTTTGGGGTTAGGCAGTTCTTCATATTTATGGTTAGCAAACATACCAGAATATTTTTACTGTAGTTAAAAAGTAAAGTGTTCTTCATTCAATATAAGGTAGATAAATAGAAAGTGACTAAGTTGGGATCGCAAAAATTACATATTTGCCCAAAAGTGACTAAGATGGGGTCTATAATTGGCCACAGAATAGACTATAATGGGGTAGGGGCTCTGACAGGTAGCCCCCCCCGGGAAAAAAACCTGAGGAAATGCATTATTTTATATATGATCCTCTTGTTTTGATGGAAAATTTGTGCTACAGGTTGACAGAGTTACAAGGTATATTGCACAAAGAACATAAGGTCTAGCAATTGTCAATACAACCAAAAGTCAGCAACTATGCTGAAGAGTCCAAAAAAAGGGAGAAAGAAAAAAGCTGTCCATGGCTGTGTAGGGTGAAAAGGCTTTGCATTGGGTAATAATCTGAAATCACTGTCTCAACATCAAAAATTTTTTTTAACTATCAGTAACCCAGTACAGATTTTTCCGACACTGGTACACTGTAACACAGTGTATCAGGGACCGCGCAGAGGGAGGGGCTGGGGGGGCTTTAGCCCCCCCACTTTTTTGCAAGAATAAAAATGAATTAAACAAAAAATAATTTAACAAAAGTAACGGAGTGAAAAATAGCAAAAAATCGTTAATTTGAAAGTGACCAGAGTTACTGGCAAAGACAAACGCGCAGATAAATAGACAGAATGAAGCATTAGTCGTTACAATTGTAAAATATTTTTTCGCTTCTAACCTAGCAGAGGTAAACGTCTTTGAAATGGCTTCTTTTTCCTGCGGACCTCTCAGGAAAACGCGTTGTTTCGTAATTGGTCAATTTCGATCCAAAGTAATAACTGGATTTAGTTTATAAGGCGATTCTCAAACAAATTTTTTATTAGTTTCAACCTTGATTTTTGGAAGATCATGAAGTTATTGTTTCTCTTGTTATTGTGCGTCCTGATTTTAGCTCGATCAGCGCGAAGTCCGTCTTTTGATGTCAGGCTTCACGGCTCGTTGAGCATTCCAATTGCAAGTTTGAACTCGGCTTTCGTATGATATGAAGATATACAGATCTCGGAGGGTGTTATCCTTCGGCTTTGGCGGATAACCCCCTCGATCTGCATAACTCTTCATATCATACTCAGCCTCGTGCAATAATTGCTCAGTAATTATACAGCCTTGAGTTCAAGGCAGCTCAAGCAAAATCGTTGGATTTCTGGCTTATTTATAGTAATCAAAGGTTGATATCAGTAGTATAACATAACAATCTATGATATTTCAATTTAGTGATGGTGAATTTTCAGACCCGATAGCAACATCACTGAAGATTTGGAAAAAATCAATAGTTTTATCGTTATTCGCATTCTCCGTCACTTTAGAGAAACTGAATAGAAATCCACAAGCATTCCCCCCCCGCCCCCCCCCCCCAAATTTTCCTTCACGCATTCTTCTTTAGCCCCCCCACTTGAAAACTTGCTGCGCGGTCCCTGTGTATGCCTCAGACATTTTTTATTTGTCAGATAAGAAAAGAAACTTACTATCTTCTCTGCATGCCCATGACAAAGAACCAAGGTGTTCATTCGTTGGACCAGGCTGAGCTGTTGGTTAGAGTGATGCATCATCACTGCATATGCCAGTCCAATTGCTGGTATCCTGCTTTCTCCTTTCTTAGTTTTGTTTACTGTCTCCCAATGTGCTGGTGCACATATTGTCAAAATGAAGTCAATGACATCAGGACACCTCCTATGACCTTCATCTACAACTTTTAGCCACGAAAAGGTACGCAAGGCCTCATAAGTCTTGTCTTTAAGGACCGAAGGCTTCCCACCCTTTTCAGTCTTGCCAAGATTTTCACACTGCGCTGCAACATCCAACAGAAATTTCCTCTTTAAGGCGTCTCTTAAAGATGATGCCTATATTGCATCTGTAAGTACCTGGGCATCCCTCAGTGAAAGAGCAATGCTTAGCTGGGATACTTAACCCTCCTTTCGTATTAGGTGACGACTATTGAAGTAGGAAAATAAATTTTGGTGAGTGAGAATTGCTATGAAGATAAGAATAAGCTTATCTGTACAAAGACCACTAATGTGTGTGTAACATTGTGGTCTCTGTTTTTTCAATGAGTTTATTATGACACACACCCAAAAGATCACAGTGCCTTGTGCAAAAATTAAGAACGAAATGACTGTAGGATATAGAATTCACATGCAATGAGCAGGGAGAAGTAAAAATGGTACAATTTTTGAGAAGATGTACGTAATTGACAGTATGCATACATTTTTTCTTTTTATCGCAAGAAAGAAAGGAAAGAAAAATAATTACAAAAACAGCTTGCAGTAAGGGACTCATGATTATTTAGAGGTAGCCAGGGCTGCTGCAAATAGGGAAACGGTCCATGATTTAGGAAAAAATGGGGGAGGCAGACAAATTTATGCATGTATCTAAGCAACATCAGAGACATGGAGGGAACAAAGGGTGGTTGGTTTGTTGTCACCATAATCTTTTACAAACAGAGTTACCAGCACATGAGAACTTGATTTAAAGCATTTTAATTACCTTTGGGTTATTGAGTCCTGCTTTCTCTAAAGAAAAAGCTTGCACCGGTTGGGGGATTTTGATGGGCTGGATGGTCTATACAAATAAAAATCAAGAAACAATAAATTAGCTGCATATTTTTGGCAATCTTTTCAAACTGATTTATTACTGTACCTTTGGGTTCTTAATGCCTGCCATCTGTAAAGGAACAGTTGAAAGTAGTTGGATTTTGGTTGGCTGGTTGGATGGAACAGACTGCAAAGTACATAAACGCAATTTAGTTGATGAGTAGCTAGAAATCCTCAGCAGCCCACCTTATGCCTATATAGCTTATCTATAACGTGATATTCCAATACGATTCTTACCTTCGGGTTATTGCCCGATTCTTTATGACACACAGGCCTTAACTTTTAACTGGCGTTGGAATTCTGGAAATTTTCACATGCGAGGTCACATTCATACTCTGAAATCACAAGACATTCAATTTGTAAGGAATTGAGACTTAAAGTTAGGCACCTGTAGTATAAGTTAAAACCGGCAGTAAGTACCCTCAGGCCGAGGTTGACTTACCTGATTTCCTTGTAGTACATGTATGGCAGAAGCAGAACATCTTGTATTGCTTATGCTCACCTCCCGATCACTCGTTTGCTGGTTACCGAAAGGTAGACGTTTTCGTGCTGAAGTCACCATTGAGTGCGGTATTTTTCTTGGCTTTTCGTTGCTTTGAGGAGTATTTCCCGTCCGAGACCGTTTCTTGATGTTTTCTTGTCTACTTGTTTTCAGTTCGCGTTCAAGTTCCTTCTGTGTACGTACTCTTGCAGGTCGAGGCAAATATTACTAAGTTCTTGTTTAGACGTAGAACTTTATCACAGGGACCGCGAAGGGGGAGGGGCTGGTAGGGCCGCGGCCCCGCCACTTTTTGCGTCCCCGCTCCCACTTTTTGCGCTAAAAAGAAGAATAATTAAAATTAAAAAAAGACTTGAAACAAATTTTTTCCGTCTATATTCCGATATATTCTCTGTATTTTCTTTAATTTTAAACGCCAGGCATTTTGTGGGGCTCCTGTGCTTTTCGCGGTAATTGTGCCCTGGGGCTGACTTGCCCCTTGACCAAACGCCATGCCTTGGCCACCCCTTCGCTTCGTTCGGCAGCGTGTTTTGTACTTCCAGCTCCGGCAGAGTTTTTTTTATCAGTTTTATCAGACGAAATGAAGAAAATTACTAGCTTTTTCAAGCCAAACGAGGGTGAGTAGTTGTTTTGAGTTGATAAAAGTTTTATATTTTGTCTTTCTCCTTTCGAATCAAGGAAATATTCGATGGCAAGAAGAATTACATTACTTGAACAGTGAACGGCCATAGTTAAAAATTTTTCAGATCACTTCAGTGTAGTATTTTCTATACTATACATAAATACATACGAGATCTCGCTGATACTCGCGCGAGATAAACGAGATGTCGTCAAGAATGCCGACCTATAAAGAGCAACAAATGCTGGATAAAGTATGCAAAGTCACGCGACAGAAACAAATCAAATACTATGATTTTATTCCTTTTTTCGATTTTCAATATGAAAAAAATATTTTCAATTGTCAGCCCTCCCACTTTTCACCTTGCTGCGCGGTCCCTGTATCATGGCAACTTCTGCAACAAAACTTAGAGGAAGTTCATCCCTCTCTGAGACTTCAATATTTCACATACTCTAAGAATAATCCTTTTTAACTGTAACGCCTTTCCACTATCGCTGAAAAAATGGTGTTTTCTTGCGGTCGTCTCACCACACAACCGGCACTTACTTTTTAAAATATCGTCCGTCAAAGTTTGGGATCCTTCCATGTCTCACGACAGCTGGAGCGGCCACCAAAAAACCGCGAAAATTTTGAACCGTTAAAAGAGCCAATCATAGCGTTTGTTTTATCACGGCACAACTTTTAGCAGGAGCCAATGAAAAATGGCCTTGTTTCCACCTTTACCAGATCTCACTTTACAATGTAAAACAGAGTGAGATCTGGGTACGAGATTAATGTTTCACGTCATGTTGAATGTTCAGGGCGGAAAAACGTAAT